AAATTTTATGTCTTAAACCTTAATCACTACGAAAATAGTAGGGCAGCTTGATAGAAATTGTATATGCCCTGCTGTCATATTATATTTTTTTTAAATATAAATTTTTTAAATAGATTGGTTTTGTACGCGTAATAGAGTTGTGTAATGATTGATAAAAGTAAAATTGCGAATAAACATGTCGACATTCCCAAGCCAGTCAACCCCAACCGATTAGAAATACTATGTTGCAACTTTTATTGAACGGGTCCTGCACTTTACATGTCATAAGTATTTATTGGAAAAAAAATTGTTATTGAGATTATATATTGACAAGTGTTTATTAGGGACTTTGGATGCTATTCTCATCCATTCCTATTTATGCGGTCACGATTAAACCACGTCTTTATATTCTTATTGTTTTTTGTCTTATTATTTCTATAAAAAAAATTAATATAAAATGTTGAAGTGGCTTAACCGTGACCGCACAAAATATGAGGGGATGGAAAGGGCACCCAATCAAAAGGGCAGACAATTTGCCTCCGTTCATTCGATAGATGGCCAAATATATCCAAAAATAGATCGAAACTCATAGGGTGTGTATGGTCGAGTTCGGCCCGGTTTCACCCTCAAATTGGAACCTAAACCGGAAATATCAACAGTTCGGTTGGTGCAGTTTTGCTTAAATTTATTACTAAAACCGTACGGCTCAATTCATGCCTATTCTAGTTCAATTCATACAAGTTTACAATTCTAACCAAAAAAAATAATATATATATATATATATATTTTTTTTTTTTAATCTTCTATTTCCAATACCAAATACATATTTTAACCACAAATTCAAGCAAATTTGATTTCTCACAACTAGATCTACATGATTTGTAACCGGAAGATAGAAAATGTACATATAAATATAAATCAAAAGATAGGAAGCCTCTTCTCAAATCAAAGTGTACATAATGCATAATATACTAGAAAAGAATGAAGAGAAATAAAGGAGGGGAAGAGAAGTGAAGAAAAGTGGTCTGATCTGGTTTCTTAGTATTTTCAAACCAAAACAAGTACCGGTTTGCGACAGTCCGGTTCGGTTTTTATCACAGTTTTGACTTTTTAGGTCAACACGGTTTTTTATCTTTTTTTTATCACGGTTCGATTTGATTTTCCAGTTCGACGGTTTTTATGCCCACCCCTCAAAACTCAATAAAACAATACATATGACATCAAAGATCTAGGAATTAGATTGATTAGGAGACAGGTAGTCGATCCCTTCCTCATCTCGAACTCCCGACTTTCTCGATTCATGACTTACAATAAAAACTTGTACCCTGCTCCAAGAATACCACACGTACATGCGAATCTGAAGAGTAAATTTCAGATTTGCCAAACCTGGTTTAAACTTATCATAATTTTTTAAGGTTGAAAGATTGGAACAATAACACTAACAAGAAGCAAATATAATTCATACAATTTGTCATAATTAATAACTGGAAGGTGATATAAAAGCCGAAGCAACGTTTGATAGGGAAGAAGAAGAAGAAAAAAAGCATCTATTATGAACAAACATCACAACAACAAATGCAGTACATTAAACAGTGACATTTCCTATACTACTTTGTCAGTCACGGAGACGACGCTATCTGCCCTTTTCTCGTTCGACGGTTTGGGTTGACGGTTGAGTGTCCACTACTGCCTGCCCCTTTTCAAGCTGCAAGACGGGCATTTGTACTGCTTGATGTTCTCGGCCTTCGCAGGTGTTATCTTAACACATTTTCCATGGAACCATTTCTCGCAGATGTCACAGCCGATCCAAAATTCATCTGCATTGTAATTTCCGCCACAGCTACCGCAGAGAGTTTCGCTATGTTCATCCTCCTCCTCCTCGAAGCTCTCGTCAGGTAGCTTAGGAGTGCTTTTCACTAGTCCATCACCGGATCTCTATAGAGAAGACGAACAAGTTAATGGCCACTACGTAACAAACACATATTCCAAATTCCTGCATCAGCAGTACTGAAAAGCAAGCAATTATAAGACATGACATCTTTAAGTACACCAACATCAGCGATTAACTGTAACAAAAAGATTTTTTTTTCCTTTTCTTTTTTCTTGAAATAACAAAAGAATCTTACTGTACATCGTAGCAAAAAGCTTCTGAACTAGGTAAGAACCTTACACAAGAATGGGTATTCTAAGATTCTAAGAGGGAAAACAAAAGAACAAGAAGTGATTCATCTAACCTTTGTGCTGCCTCGAGATTTGCTTCCACTATCCACGCTGGGCTTTTCTTTGACAGGTTTCCGTTCCGTAACAACTTCAAAGACAGTAGGCAGATCATTGATCAAGCTAAATAGGCGTTTCCTGTCATACAGAACCAACTCATGATGAATGAACTCAAGCAAAGGGGCATGGTGCATAAGAACTTGCTACAATGGAATTCCTCTTTGCCAAACAATGGAAGATATTAAAAAGATGAGCCATATAAAAAATTTATCGTTGGTGCTTTGGTGCAAATTGCAGAAAAGGGGATCAAGTGCTAAAACTTCTTCAATGACCGTAAGGGGCTTTTTTAGGTTCATTTCATGTTGATATTATAATCAAGAGGGACATTGGAGAATTGACTGTTAAACTAAAGGATTTCTATCAATCAATGTATGATTTCAGATTATCACTATCATGATATCATCAATGGAGATAAATAACACCACACCAATTGCTCCACTCGTGTTGCTATTCTGCATCTGCTCAAAAACTACTTTTAACTCGGCAGCTAGAGTTTAGACATCTTACACACATGCATCAACAACACAAAACAAGGAACAGTACCAAATATCTATCTATACCACGTACACGGAGTAACTAAAAAAAAAAAAAGCTCACGCACCTCTCATTGCGGTTAAGACGTGCTCCAAAATAGAAGGCTACAGAGAGCAGCCACGAATCACTGTGAACAGCAACCAGAGAAAGCCAGTCCTTGCGGTTCATACCGTCTCGCGCAAAATTGATCCCAAGAGCTGGCTCAGGAAGCTCCGGCGGGACTTCTTCTGCTGGAAGCGTCACCTCCCAGGTTTCATTCGGGTGCCCATACAGACACAAGTTCTCCTTTTCTAAACCAAACAGGGTAATTAGAACAAAAAAAAACATGAATTGGGTCAACAAAGAAATTGCAAGTTGGTTTCAGCTTAACTAAAGCGAATTTAAATACAGCTAAGGTCAAAAGGAGTTGCAGTTTTAACAACTCATCCAATTAATTACCACACAATTACAGTAAAATTAAGAGTTTGCAGAATCGAAATAACAGGCAAAGTATACAAATTACGGCAAAGTATACAAATTACTTTCCCTAGATTCTTCAATATTCTTAGTCTCTATGAAACATATACAAATCGATTTTACAAAATACATTAAGCATTTAATCAACATAAATTCACAAATTCATACAAAATTACAAAAGCTAGAGCCCTTAGGGTAAAAAAAATAATTAAAATTTCACAAGGCAAGCAAATTATAATTAGAAGTCTGATCTACAATTAGGCATTTACCTGGATCACAGAGTCCGTAAAATTCATCCACATCTGCGAGAAAACAAAACCACCGAAAAGGTCAGAGATTTACAAAACCGACTCAGAGATTTCCAAAACCAAAAGAAAATTAAGAGAGAGTGAGAGAGAGATTGGACTACCGTAAGTTAAAGCGCGGACGACGGCGGTTCTCCGAGCACTGTAATCCTTGAAGATCTCCTCCACCGTTCGCGGACTCGAGGCCATCTCCATGGGATCTAAAAACGCAGCGTTTTGGGAAAGAAATTGGGAATTTAGTGTTAGGGTTTGAGTGCAGGGGAAGAGTTCGATTTACAGAGAGGGAAGGGGGAGAGCATAAAGAGAGATCGGAGGAGGAGAGAGATGCATGGAAACGTGAGAGAGAGAGAGAGAGAGAGAGAGAGAGAGAGAGAGAGCGCAGGGGTGTGTTTAGGTCGCGGATACTTGATGAAATCCACTCCCCCCCCTTCGAGTACCATAGAAGAAACTAAATTACTGACAAATTTTAATTTAGCAAGGACATATATTGTGTCAATTTCACATGGACGCCTCTGTACTAGTTCTTATTTTCAATTTGACCCCAAGTTCTTTTGGTTTTTTTTGTATGGGTGCTTTAGGGGTATTTGTCAACCGGTTTGGTTCCGTTTAGATTTCAAACTAGTAAGCACAAACGAGCCAAACCAAATTATTAGGGACTGATTTGATTGGTTTTGTTCCTTGATAATTACATGTATCAACAGGAGCTTCTTTAGGTCAAATGAACGATTCTTGAAAATGCATTTTATTATTGAAAATGAAAATAATTTGGAGCAAAAGATAACGTAAAATTCAAATGGTCTGAATTTAATTTGTTGTATTACCCTATTAACTGCTTGATTTGGTTTAGTTTAAGAAGTTTTCAAATAAGGCAAATCGAAATGGACCAAATTAATTGCGGTCTGATTCGATTTGGTCTAAGATTACACTTCTTTACCTTAAAAATGAAACCAAAGTGATTGTGATTGGACTGGTTTGATTTGGTTGATTCACTTTGGTTTGATTTGAATGATTTGCGGCTAATCTGGTGAATCGACATCATATGTCAAAAATTGAACAAGAATTTATATGTAGTGCGAACATCCAGGTGACGATATTTCACACTAATCACATGACATTATATAGTAAAGTTAAGCACATGACGATAGATATTAAGTTCGTGACAATGTTACCTATCTAAAAAAAAGGTCAGCATCTCCACTTCTTTTGGACAAAGATATATTTACACTAAGTGATAGGAGGATAAATTCGTGTCAAACTCGTCATTCGTGAGATTATAACCTAAATCCACCACTAAACCATAGTATTAAATAGTTACCTCGTCCCTTAACGTTCTATATCTATTATTATTATTGAGTTAAGTGAGGAGGGCTAGTGCCATAGTGGAAATTAAGCACCATTGTGACCGTCCTCATCCGAATTCAAGGCTCAATTTCTTGTTCAAGCATCAAGTTTTCATCAGAACACAGATTTAGATTGATGACGAAATTAAACACGCTGAAAACATACATACAAAGGATTTATTGTCATTGCCGATAGAGCAGCAATCTACTTGTTACACAAGCAAACACAACAAACACAACAAACACAACAAACACCTTACTTAGTATACACCTGGGAAAGCTTACACTACTTCGGAAGATAATACCGACTTCTACGAATCAACGACCGGCGTTCACAAAGATGTCAGCAACATTCTGATGCCGGTTTTCTGCTCTGAGGTGAGCTTCGGGATCTTGACGCTAAACTTGACAATCAAGTTCCCCTTCTTGGATTGTTCCTTCTGGATAGGCATCCCTTCCCCTCTAACCACTTCTTCATGGGCCTGGCTGATAACGGAATCGATAGAGACTCTCAGATTTCTCCCGTCTAGGGCTGTCAGCTGCGCGGTGTAACCCGCCAGAGCCTCCGCGAGAGAGACCTTCTGAGTGACAATCAGATTGTCCCCGTCCCTCTTGAAAACACTGTGAGGCTTCTCATCGACGATGAAGACAATGTCTGCTGGTATCACACCTCGCCGTGTGTCGGGCCCTTTCTCTTGGAAAGTGATCTTCGTGCCCTTTTTCCATCCCGGCTTGATCTCGATTGTTAGAACTTCCTCCACTGTGCTTTTTCTTCTGCACCAAATAAAAAAGAACATCATCTTAATTTACTTCAAATTTTCTCGTGACTTAGAACCTTGCAACCAAGTTGATGATGCTAATTCATCGATTCGTATTTGATTATTAATTAAACTCATCTATGGTTTGAAAAAAAGAAAAAGAAAAAAAAAGGAAACTAGATATTAATCCTTGAAAAAGATTTAGTTTAGAATAAACCGTATGCAAGATTAACAATTGAATTAATAAGTCTCTGACCATAATTCCACATTAGGTTGTCATTTATTTCTTTGTTGGTTTTTGTTTTATTCTTCCAATTATACCCTTTTGTGAATGTTTGTAACGAAGACGTTCTTTTTTTTTTTTGTTAACAATCGTAGAACGTCACTTATTATAGCTTTTTTTTAAGGATGTATAATGTATATGATACTTTGCAGTAGTTTTTTTAATTCTCATTCAAATTTCAAACTGATTTTAGGTCATATCTTAGAAATTAGTAATTCATTTTCTAAAATTAAGAGGGCTATGTATATAGTTTATTGTAATGCCCATCACTTTGTTTTTATCATGGAACCTAAGGTACGAATATTTAAGTGCATGTTCAACTAGATACTATGATTTAGGTGCATTCATCTAAGGACTATGATTTAGGTGCATTCGACTAGATACTATGACCTTTTTTTTTTTACAAGAAACGATAGTGTGGTATTTCATTAATCAACACAAACAAATACAAGAGTGTCATTGGGTACATAGCTCTATTGACCAATAAATTGATCTAGAGTGGATTTGCGCAAACAGACAAATAAGAGTAAACCCCTAGTAGACTACCACAAGCACGAACACACAATCACCAAGCACACAAGTGCCACTAGTACAGATCTGTCACAATAAATAATAGCCACAACAGAGCAATACCGGCATTCGACTAGATACTGTGACTTAGGTGCTTTGTAGTAGGTACCATAGTTTAGGTTCATCTGACTTGGTACTATGATTCACGTGCGTTCGACTACATACTATGATTTAAGCACATTAGTACATGGCACATTAGGACATGATTTAAGTGCATTAGATTAAGTATAATATATGATTTGGATATTTTAATTTCCTCCATGCTTTGGATGATGATAATGAATAATTTGAGTTAGGTATTTGTTTAATTCTTGTAACGTATCACTAATAGTTTTTTGGGCGTCTAGATGAGGTGTGTTTATCGTTTGAGAAAGTCAAACAATAATCAATGCCAAACAATATGGAGCAAAATAAAACCAAATATTTAATATGTGCATTATGGGAACAAAAAAAGGCATTAAATCTTTCAAGAAAATATGAATTTTAATATTTATGATGACATGAAAATATAGTTAATCGACTATAATGAATATATAATCTAACACAAAGTTTTAATTGAATTTCAATATTTATCGAGAATTAAAATGGAGAAACCCCAATAAAAAAACTACAATAGCAAAATTCGATGCAATTAAAAATACATAAACGAAAGTAAAACTTTGTCAAAATTATTTAAGATTCATTTGAAAGTATTTTTAAAATAACTGAAAACGTTTTTAATGAAATTGAATTTGAGTTCCAAAAAAACATCACATATGTGTTTATTGCATGAAAAACTTAAAAGTGTTTTTTCTTGATACATTTGGATTTTTTATTGATTATTGATTTCAAAAATATTTTCACCTAAACGTTTTCAGTCATTTTAAAATAACTTCTAATCGAATTGTTAGGCTAATAACATGTTTTAGGCTTTTAGCACAAAATTAAACAAAACAAAATATTCATAAAAAAAAATTTTAAAAAAAAGGGGTACAAGGGGCTTACCCGCTGGCACCAAGAACATCCCTGGAGATCTTCAGCTTCTTGGTGGCGCCATTGTACAGCTCCTCCAAAGTACAAGGCAACGTCCTCACAATGGCCGCTGCTTTCTTCGGCCCATTTCCGGGTCCCCAGTCCTCGAATCCGAAAAACTTCGAGAATATCTCTTCCGGTTGCACGGCCATTCCTCCCTCTCTGTTTTTCTCTGCTCACTCAAAACCGTAGGATCTTCTGTTGATGTAAACTCCCTGCGTTGTTGTGCGTTAAACTTCGGGTGCTACCACATTTATATAGCGAGCTCAATGATTGATCGCACCGAGGAAACAAAGCAGTCACAGTGATGGATGGAATCTGCAAAAGCAGTGGGGCAAAGGGTAATTTCGCAGGACTTCCGAGACAAGGTACTAGTACAGTAGCTTGACTTCTGTAGCAGAAGACTTTTGAACCGATAAAATTTTTAATATGTCGGAAACACAACTCGTTATATTGTGCGGTCGAAAATTTTGTTTTCATGTATCCAACTATTTGTGTACTCATGTTTGGTGTACATGGAACACGACTTGTTACACTGGTTGAAAATTTTCTTTTCATGTATTCAATTATTTGTATCATTATACTTGATGTACAGAGTTGTGTTCTGATACAGTGGAAAATCTCTCATTTAGTTGAGCAGCTGACACGTGGTGTAGCTTTCAGATAAGTTGGATTGTTTGTTCTTGTTTATGAACTTCCTCGAGGGGTTTCGGAGCATCGTCGAGGGTTCGCTTTTGTTTTGGATAAGAGAGGAAAAGTCAGCATATAATAAATATACCGTTTGCCTTTGCTTTGGTGATATTAGATCATGACAGAAAGTGTGATTAGCTTTTGTTTTAGGGAGTATTTTTGCTCTATAAATTATGGTGTATATTCATCATATCCCTCGTCATCTGTTACATATATCTTTATTTAATTCAAATTACTTTAATATGAACACTAACTAGAATTAAATGAAAAGATACGTCAAACATATAATGAGGTGTATGATAAGCATACATTATAATTTAAGCAAAAATATCTATTGTTTTTGGTTGTTTGGTTTGATTGAAGGATAATTGGAAATTTAGGCGAAAACTTTATTCTAGATTGCTTCAACCATGCGACATGTTCGACCATTCAATATCTAACAAGTTTCTCTGTAACACATACAACAAAAAACTTGGGTAATAAACCTCCACACATGATCAAGTTGCAAGTTGCCTGACCAAAATGAGACGCAAACATTTGGTTTGACAAAGCGAGGTTTTGCAATATTCCACAGTACAAGTGCACAACAAAGTTCCTGGAACACTTTAAAATCCACTGTGGTATTTATTAATGTTAAACAGAAGGGGGCAGATTCTATCCAGCATTTCTACATAACCAACAAAAAGATTGGACAACGAAAGAGGAATGTGGAAATCAACATAACCTCCTAGTCAAATGTTGTGATCAAACATCGAACCCCTCATTCGACGAGGCATCAATTTCCAAACCCAAAAACAAAAAGCGCTAAGAAAGCAAACAAATGCAAAACTTTCACAAGTTCGGCGGGATGGATGGGAGAAGGGAGAGCTACCATTGGCCTTTACTAAGATGTTAATAACCGTTTCATGTTGGTTTTTTGGTCCGAGGTAAGCTTGGTCGGGAACTTGATGTTGAACTTGATTCTCAAGTTTCCCTTTTTGGAAGGCTCCTTGGGAATAGGCATCCCCTCCCCTTTAACCACTTCTTCATAGGTGGGACTGATGATATTGGTGATGGAGACTGTAAGATTTCTGCCGTCGAGGGTTGTCAACTGTGCCGTGTAACCTGTCAGAGCTTCCGCAAGAGAGATCTTCTGAGTGATTGTAAGATCATTCCCGTCCCTCTTGAAAAGGGTGTGAGGCTTCTCATCAATGATAAATACAAGGTCTGCTGGTATGATTCCTCTCTGTTCATTCCCTTTCTCAGGGAAAGTGATTTTCGTGCCCTTTTTCCACCCTGGCTTGATCTCAATTGTTAGAATTTCCTCCACTGTGGTAGTTCTCCTGTAAACAAAGGAAACAAGAATAAATAGCATATGGATCCAACACAAACTTGTTAATGTACATCGTTTTTCAATACTTTTACCTCTAGTCGATTAAATTTATCCAAAAGGTGCCAATTTGACACCTGGATGATAAACAATAACATTACTAAGGACAAGAACAGCATGCCAAAGCCACAGGACCTCCCAAAGAGTCTCTTTCCGACGTCAACACGTATTAGATTAAGCAAATATTCATCCTTCCAATCCGCAAATTAATCTAACCAGAACCATAATTCACGTATCAATCACCAAAATTATGATTCCCACTAAACCAAAGAGATATTTCTGTCACCCCAATGCTAAAGTCTAAACATACTAGTACGCCTAGCTAGTAGACACGGATAGAATACATAATCATAGTACACGATATAGGGAACAATGCAAAACTTGACCACATAAGCAGACACAAGAATCCATCATTAATAAAGCAGGAATAAGCATGCACAGTACATGAAAGCATTATGATCAACAATATCTTATAGTTATTTGGACATCTTGAATTCCCTATCTGCTGCCAGATATCCAAATATAGAAAGTTTCATGTGGTACTCTGCGTCATTTTGGATGACTGTCTTGACTGTGAGACAATAAAAGACACCAAATACATAAATATGAGGAAATATACATCCTTAAGTGTTATGAGGTTTACTATTCCACAGTAAAAAATTCCCAAGACTAGTCGATATTGCTTTCCAACAGTTTTGCAATCTCAATTAACTGGAATTAAGTAACAACTAACAATTAAGAAATAATCATAAAATAACGTGATTTATTTGTTTGTATGCATGGCATTACGTCAAACTCGTAGGTTTCAAAAATGAGTTATAAGTGACAGGTAAAGTTGTCTGAGATGATTATCAAGGATATAGTGGAGATTAGATTATATAAACTTGAAACAGAAATAGTAAGGTTAAGGCTTTAGTCCAGTCAGTTCATCTTTAGTTTATTTCTTCATCAGCACTGGCTATCAGGTAAACCATTACTCAACAAGAAACATCTACACAAAGCTCCTATATATAGCCAGATTCCTAAGTAGATGTATCCAAATTTTCTAGTTATCATAGACCAAGAATCACCTTGGTCAAAATGACAGCTAAAGTCTGTGGAAAGAAGAGACTTCGTGGAGGAACTTATAAGGTTGGTACTGGAAATAACCATAATCTAGATTTAGTACATTACGTAGCACTATTAACTAAACTTTGTTAATGAGATCAATAAAAAAAGATGCACATCTGATGATATATCAAGCTCTTGCAACCACTAATACATACTGATGTTTCATGCAATTTGTCAACAAGAACTTTCCTGCTCCATTAATGATACTTTCAATAAAATGAGAAGTGATCTCGTGCGGGAAACAAAACAACAATATAAGTTAAAAACTTAAAACAACCCCAAGATCAAGATAAGACCCTCAAGCAAACAAGTACCCATATCAGTAGTCATATCATCGTCCTTGTATGCTTCAAAAATAAATGCTTTTATCCACGTCTTTCCTGCCTCTGGATAGTAAACAAAATATGATACTGCAATACTTTTCGCAAGCAGGGATCATATGTTCGCAAGCAAGGATCGTACTTTTGCATCCAAAGGATAGTAAACATAGTACGATGCAATACTTACATTAAGAATAACACAAACTAACAGAGATCTGACCTAGAATTCTAAATACCCGAACAAAAAAAAGCCACCTGAAAGATGTGAGAAGACATAGTAACAGGTACCAGTCACCTTACTATGAACAGTAAAGACGGTAATATGAAGCATATTAACAACTAACAATGGCATTGCTAAGACAGATATGTAGGGAGATGATTTGTACAATCAAACAATGCTCACAGAGAACGAAAAATCTTACCCACTAGCATCAGGAACATCCCTAGAAATCTTCATCTTTTTGGTGGTGCCCTTATACAAATCCTCCAAAGTACAAGGCAATGTCCTCTCTATTGGTGCAGCTTTCCGCGGGGCAGCTGCAGAAGGCTCTGCTCCGCCTCTAAACTGCGCAAATATGTCTTCCCCAAACATACTCCTCTGAAACGGGTTCCCGCCAGCCCTCGACCCGCCTGCCCTTGACCCACCCATGTCCGGCATCCCCCCAAAACCCGAAACCCCAAAAAACTCGGAGAAAATATCGTCAGGGCTCCGGGTGTTGAACCGGAACGTCGTCGGACCGCCCTCATGCCCTTGTCCGCCGGACCAGGACGAATCGGGCGGCGGCACCCCTCCCTTCAACCCCTCCTCCCCGTACTGATCGTACACTGCTCGCTTTTGGGGATCACTCAAAACCTAACCAATCAATTCAAAAATTGGGAACAAATCTCAGCCTAAAATTTGGGGAATTTTGGGAAAAATCGAAATCGAATTGAGAGAGATTAACATTAACGTACATCGTAGGCTTCGGAGATTTGCTTGAATTTGGCCTCGGCGGCTTTCTTGTTGTTAGGGTTTTTATCGGGGTGCCACTTCATGGCGAGCTTCCGATACGCTTTCTTCAAGTCATCGTCTTTGGCGCTTCGTTCTACCTGCAGAACCTTGTAGTAGTCGACCCCCATGCTTCTCTCTCCTCTGTTTCTCTCTCCTCCCTCTGTGCTTCTCTCTGGTACAAAAGCCTGGGAAGATTACTTCTAAAAAACGCTGCGTTTAGATGCTAAACCTGGCCTGTTGTGGCCGGAGTTCCGAAAAGAGACTGGGGTGTGACGTGAGTGACGAGTCATCTCGACAACCACCGTTTTACATAAAATGGGCTGATGTGGGCCGTCAGATAGCAGATCTTATTATCTTGGACTTTTTTATTTCTTAAACTATAAGGCCCAACTACCTTTTTTTAACCTCAAGTTAAGTTGTATTTTAGTCGAGCGATAGAGTTAGTAAACTAAATAATTAGTTGTTAGATAGAAGAAAAAGCGGTAAAGATCGAACCCATAGTAAAGAGCATTAAGTTGTTTGATTGTATGAAAATATAACAACTAATTTATAAATTTGTTTTTATAAAACCTATGATTTGTTGGTTATTTTCATGCAAAACATTTTACAAAGTAGAAGTTGTGTTAAGACAAAACATTCAGAGTACCATGTTTAAGGATTTCAACATCTAATACTAAATTGTTTAGTGATTAGTTATGGGGTCATACTCCATCGAATTTTACTGATATGAACTGTTTATTTTTCAAGTTGCATCTCATATATCATCCTTGCAAAATATTAACCAAATCAAAAATATTTAAGACATCTAATTGAGTTCAAAGAAATGGACAAACACTTTCTTCTGAGAAAACATAGAAATTTCTTCATGGTAATTGAATAGGCAAACAATTTGGGATTGAATTGAATTTTTGCAAAAATGATCTATGAATTGAAACTTACAAAATCGATTGAATTTGACATGAAATGAGTCTCACAACTAATCTCTATTTTTTAAATAAAAAAAAGTTTTCTTCCTTTAAATAATAGAGTGACATATAACTCCAAAATATCTTTTGTTTGCTTTGATGGTAGATTTTCTCACGAGTCATTGACTCATGACCAAACTTCTTCACCAAACCCAAAACTCCTATAGGCTATAACCACGCAATTACCAGCTGCAAATTTACGCTACGTCCAACCCACCCAATAGCTACCATTCACGGGATGGTTTAATGGTTGAAGATGAATTACAGACCGTATTTCACACTGCACGTCTTAGGTTTGATTTCTAACGCTATGAACCGCATGATAATAGTAAAAAAAACCTAAAATACTTATGTAAATCTTATCAACTACTAAAAAGATGAACTGACGAAGCCATCTGCTAGTCTTTTAAAAAAAAAAACCCCCCCCCAATAACTCTCTCCCATAAAAATGGAAAAAATTATTAAAATTGGTCAAAATTAAGAAAAAATAATAAATAAATATACCAAGCACAAGCAGACATAGTTTCTCGAGTTAAAAGGAAAAGGTCCATCACTACCATCCCATATTTTAATTTTTCCAAAAAGTGACGAATCATACCACGTTACAATGATTGCCTCTCTGAGCTAGAATCGCGTCCATTCACCGATCGGAGTTCGGATGCTGCTATGGCGCCGATGGGACAGCCTGCCGCCGCCGCCGAAGTGTACGTGCCGATGACCCTTCAAGTGTGGCGAGGTCTCGTGAACTGGGTGGGCTTCTTCTTCCAGATTATTCTTCAGATCCTGAGAGGCGCGCCTTGCCTTCCTCACCTGCTGTCCTGCATTTCTTCCTCTTCTCCTCCTGCTTTCAGGCCTCTGCCCGTCGCCGAAGTCCCTCTCAACGACTTGTCGTCCTCCGCCCACGTCGAAAACGGCGTCGTTGATGGTCGCCCCGTCGAAAAGCTCACGGTGCGCTTCTTCTGTCTTCATCTCCTGGTTTGATTATCGCAGTTGTTAATTTTTACTGTTGGAAGTTAATTTCGTTGCATTATTATTTTCTGGGGTAATACAACTGAAATTTATGATCGGATGCAGTTAATTATGCGAAATAACAATCTGGGTTATTTGCTTAATCAATAAAACTATCTGGGTTAATTGCAAAAACTGGGATTTTTGTTTACTTCAAGTGAAATGAATCACCATGGTGTACTTAATTTTTTTCCTTTCGAAATTTTACGGATAGAATTTAATTCGATTTAGTTAATTAAGCTTAAAATGTTGGAACTTTTAGGATTGTTTAGTAGTTCTGTGAGTTGTTAAAGCTGAAGTTTATGCGTCGCGCAAAATTTTGATTACACTTTGTTCAAATGACATGAATATGCTAGTTTTTCGAGTGATGGGTTTTAATTACTAATTGGATTTTGTAATGTAGGTAGTTCTTGATTTGGATGAGACTCTAGTATGTGCTTATGAAACATGTAGCGTGCCTGCGATTGTTCGTGCTCAAGCAACGGAAGCTGGGCTGAAGTGGTTCGAAATAGAATGTCTTTCTTCAGGGAAGGTATGTAGACCGCTCTTTCTCTGCAACTTTCATGCTGAAATTTGATTGCCGTCTGATAGTGTGTTTAATATGATAATTCTTTGGGTTGAAGGAGTCTGATGGTAAACCAAAGGTCAATTATGTGACAGTGTTTGAACGTCCTGGTTTGCGAGAGTTCTTGAAGCGGGTTTGTGAGTTTGCTGATCTTGTGCTATTCACTGCTGGTCTTGAAGGTTTGTTGGTATCCCCGTCTTCACAATCTTTTTTTTATTCTATTTAGTTGTTTATTTATTTCGGATTTGTTTTTTGATGACTCCATACAGATTATGCTAGACCACTTGTTGACAGAATTGATGTGGAGAATCTGTTTAAGCTTCGTCTTTATCGGCCTTCTACGGTTAGCACGTAAGTTTGTGATTTCCTTTCTGTAACACCTCTTCATGTAAAGCATGCCTGGTGCAAATTCAGAATAAGTGCTGACCATTGTGCGATATATCAACATACACACGCACACACACGCATATGAAAACATAAATATAGCCGAATTTTGTACTCAAAGCTGTCAACAATGTGAACTAGTGCCAGTCTGCAAAGGAAAAGCCTTTTTGATTTATTTTTAAGGACTTTCCAATTTTAGTCATAAGTCTAAGCAATGGAATTTGTTATACTGTGTGCAAGGAATGATGTTTGAACTTGTGTAAACCATAGGGAATTTCGGGAGCATGTGAAAGATCTATCATGTTTGTCAAAAGATTTCTCTCGAATCGTCATTGTTGACAACAACCCATTCAGTTTTTTGCTGCAACCGTTGAATGGAATTCCATGCGTTCCATTTTCTGCTGGACAGCCATACGATGATCAGGTAATTCACTAATTCGCATTTTGAGTAAAGAGTTTATTGGTTATCTGAAGTATGCTCTGATTACAACCTTCTTTGCCTTTCATTCCGTCATGTCGATTGTATAGCTTTTGGAGGTCCTGCATCCTCTCCTCATGCAGCTCTCCTTGCAAAAAGATGTGAGACCTATGCTTCATGAGAAATTTCAAATGCCTGAATGGTTTCAAATGCATGGATTCCCCGTTTCTGATTGAGAACATGGATGGTAATTAGGTTAACTAATGGATAGCTGCAATTTGTCTCGGGGCAGCCGACCAGATTGTTGTCCGGTGGAAGCATTTCTCGAGGGGTTTTCTGCCCCCGTAAATTAGTATTCCACGGGTGCCGGCAAAATCCAATTCCTTATATTGCTTCCAAGGCCAACAATTTTGACCTGGGAACATATTACGAAGGCTGTCTCATGGTAGGATTAACTCCAATTCTTTTGTAATTAGACGAGATTTCAAATAGGGTGTAATGCATTCGGAAACTTCTGGGAAATTTTTTGGTTTATTCTTTGACAGTGTAATGTTATCATGTCATCTCTGAATTTAATCGTTTTGTTTTCACGAGGCTTTAAGACATGCTGGACCATATACTGCGACTGAACGGAGTATATATGCTTCGATACTGGGACTGACTTTTTTGTGCCTCGGCCTGAGGCTGACTTGTCTGTGTCTCGGCATGAGCGCTGAAGCTGACTTGTTTGTGCCTCGGCCTGAGATTGACTTGTTTGTGCCTCGGCTTGAGACCAACTTGTTTGTGCCGGAGAATCTGAAACAATTCCCAAAACTACCAACGGTCCTTTCAGAGCTGCAGTTCTCTTCAGTGCGTTTTCTAGCTGTGCCATCAGCTCATACAGATGTGAAGAACGCTTGTTTCAAAGTCCAAATATATATTTTAGACTAAACAATTTCATCACATATTAACGTAGATTTTCTTCCCTCGAGTGAACGAAATAGTCCAATGAGTATGCAGTTTATTATCCATTCAAAAAGATCGCCGGAGTGAAATCACAGAGTCGGGCTTCTGGTGCAAAAGGTAGTGATAAAAGATTGCAAGGATAAAGAAGCAACATGTTAGCAGCAAAGACACCTGAAGCAGCACGGCAAATGACTGAGGTTTTGTCAAGAACGCACACTTCAAGAATCCCAGCCACAACTTCGGGTATTTCCATATCTACATGTCATCGGTCACATAAACACACTATACATTATAAATGAAAAGAAACAAGATTAAGAAACTGAAACTTACCTGCTTGCTCACAGGTCGAGAGAGGATCTCCGCCTATGTTGTTTATTGACAAAAGCTCGACAAGTCAGCAACACATCCTAAGTTTGAACGTGAAAGGTATAGTGAATTGTTCTTTTAATTTTAATGGTAAGCAATCACAGCCTTCACAGGTGGTAACCAATTAACCTAATAGGAAATCTAGTAGATTTGCAAGTGGGCTTCCATAACCATCGAACATAAATGGAGCATAAAGGTCGTACCCAGTGCACAAGGCTCCCGCTTTACGCAAGGTCTGGAAGAGGTGAATGTCGGCTAAGAAGAACTGTTATTTACATTGAATCCCACACATACAAATATCTGCACATGGTCATAAAACTAAACTGAACCTGATAAGAACAAGTGGGGGCATACAAATGTAATTTCATAATGTTGACTAAGAAGAACTGTTGTTTGTTTAGATCTACTTTGGTTCATCACTTTGACAGATTTCATTACGGTGTGACAGTAGTACAAAAGTTATAGTTTCTTATCCCCAAAAGCAAAATCAGCAGAGTACTACTCAAACTCGTAGTTTATTTATTAGTAAATAATTAATAGATATTTTTTTTTTCCTAAAAGTTCTGATGACGACATTTCAGTGTCAAACCAATTAGATTTTACGAGGGCAAGATGAATAGGATTGAAAGAATTTCTCAGCAGCATATGCTTTCCCTAGAATTATTGTGATCCAACTTGCCTGGACACTCCTTGTGTCAAGGAGTGATTCCTACCTAGCATCACACTAGCGTGATGCTGGTAATTTCTATTCATTTATTGTAATAATTCCAAGCTGTTCCTCTAATTTTCCTATTTTTCCTCAATTCTCAACAATTTACAGCATGCATCTCACATATTAAACAAACATCAGTAATCATAGTCCAAAAAAGTACTAAATGCATGTATTTTCCTTCTTGTCCTACATCAGTTTAAAGATTTCTTCAGATCTTACCAGTGCAGGAAAGGCAACTATGGCTTGCAATACCGTACGCATGACCAGTAAAGGAAGAGGAATCTGCTCAACCTGCAAATAAGAAGCTTGGTCATCTTTACGTTCCGCTTGAAAGCGGTGTAAAAGAAAGATAAGGAAGTATCCAATTGTACAAACCAACTGATTCAAAACTTTGGCAATAACTTGTTGGGTGAATATCTGCCTCTGCTCAAAGCAGGCATTGCATGCATCTGTGACCTGCTCATAAAAAAACATTATCCAGCCATTCATTATTGCCACTCAAAGAGATTTTTCAATCAAGAAAAAAAAAAGATGACATGCCTTCTTTAGTGGAATTCCATCTTTGTCGGGATCAATTCCGTGGATAGCAATCAAGATTTCAGCTGGAGACAGAAGAGGACCTGATTGGAATGATCCCTGTGCAAGTTGGATTAAAGATCAAGCAACGAATAAGAGAACTTCACAAGCATATTAATAGCAAAACTTCCTTATGAAATCATGTAAAGGTTTAAAAAATGTATGTAGAGAAACATGTGCAAAAAAATGAAAAGAAAGAAAGCATCATGAACACAGCAAAGAATAAAAAAAAGTCGTGCCCAGTGCACAAGGCTCCCACTTTACGTAGGGTCTAGGAGAGATGAATGTCGGCTAGCCTTACCCCCATTTATGGAGAGGCTGCTCCCAAGTCTCGAACCCGAGACCTACCGCTCATGGGCGAAGGCACTTGCCATCACACCAAGTGCGACCTCTGAACACAGCAAAGAATGATGAATAAAAATTGTAACAAAGGAACTTTGAAATATCTGATAGCATGCACATTCATGAGAGGAATTATTAACTGATAATAGGGTCTTACAAATAATTTATCACAAAGTTGGGCATGGGAAGCAATAGTAAAAGAGATCCAATTATTTAGAGGTCGCACTTGTATCCAAAAATGACAAGGATCATTGAATGATTATGGCATTATCTTCTCATATTTTCATGACCCATACAAAACAAACCAGTAGAGAAAAAATGCGAACAGTCTTACACTTAGAATACTTATATTGCCAAGAACTAACAAGGAAACATAGATACCTGTAGTGTGCAAGCTAGTGCTGCTTGGAACTTATCCAGTTGAAGATTCACAAGGTGGGGAAATATAAGCATAACCTAACAAAAAGTAGCTAATTAAATCATTAACACCAAAATAAAAGAGTGCCAACTGAATTAAAATCAATATGTAACTTTTATAATCTAAAGAATCAACTGTAAGTAACTAAGAACTGGAAAGGATTCATCCATAATATACCAAGTACAACATAGCAAATTAAGTTCAAAGTACTAAGATCTGCTATTATAGCAGTTATTTGGATTGCGGATGGAGAGAAATAAGGTTCTGCAATGATGAGTAAGTTAATTTCCTACGGGAGAGAAGCATGTTAGTGGCATCTTTATGGGCATCAACGCCAAAGCATTTTATAGTATATTCCTTTAATTTAATGATCTTGATTGACAAAAGCTAAGATTTATGAATAAATTTGTAATCGCTTTCTTGTAGCTTCAGCATTATTTCTATCATAGACAGAAACCTTGTTCGTCTTGTCCACTACATCATTTATCTTTTCCAATAAAATTAATTATATTTCTTATCAATATTAACCCAAGTAGAAAAAGCTACACTATTTCAAAATAGCACAAAATGTTGTTGATGGAATAGTGTAGCACTCCCAATTATAACAGAAAGGCATGTAACAAGGAACACCATGGCCAACACACACATCACATAGTAGTGCAATTATGAGAAGACATTGAAAGGGATGGAACCTCATCTTTCAGCAGAAAGGGTAATATTGGAATAAGAATCTCTACATCCTGCAACCATTCATACCCACAATACATAAGCTAAATTTCCGAAGGAAAAAAACCATATATAAGCTAATAGTGTCATGTATTTTCAACTGTCATACATAAATGATAAATGTACCTTCAGTTTTGAATCATATAGCTTTCTAACAGTAAAAATCAGTTCTTGAGAGGGAACTATTCCATCTGTCAGGGTATGTAAAACCTGATTCCATTAAACAGAAGAGGGGATTACAGATGTTATTTGTTATTCAATGGTACTGACAAAACTGTAAAAAGGTCGTACCCAGTGCACAAGGCTCCCGCTTTACGCAGGGTACTGACAAAACTGTAATGTTGATAATTACAAACCTGCATCAGGAGGTTCTCGCTTCCAGTTGGAGGATCAGAAATAATTTCAAGAAGATTAGGTGACAATCCCATAGTACGTACAAGTATTGGAATTTGGCGATGAACCGCCTGCATTGCACCATAGAACTGTTGAAAATTTTCCTCATGGGGAAGGAATAGCAAGCCCGATGCTAATTTATACATCAATATACAATTAAAAATAACTAAACCTGCTTGACGGCCTTTGATGCGCTTCCATAAACAACAAATTAAAAGGTCGTACTCAGTGCACAAGGCTCCCGCTTTACGCAGGGTCTGGGAGAGGTGAATGTTGGCTAGCCTTACCCCCATTTATGGAGAAGCTGCTCCCAAGTCTCGAACCCGAGCCTACCGCTCATGGACGAAGGCAATTGCCATCGCACCAAGTGCTTCCATAAACAACAAATATTTGGCAAAAAAGGGAATGTTTTGCCATTGAGGTTTTACCAATCATGTTAACTTCAATAAAAATAATATTGAATATTTTAATAATTAACTAATAGACATTGAACAACTCAGCATTTGATAATAAGATAAAGTAACACCTTTGTACAAAGAGCAAAATACAATGACAAACACCGCTGGGCCTCGGCAATTGAAGGGGATGACACGCTTTGTGAACTGCATGATTGATGATTATCAGAGGAGATATCTTTACTGTTACCACTCACTGATGGAGGTCCATTGGAATGTTTATCTGAATCAGAATCCTGAGGGAAAACGACTTAAATGTTAACTCTCTGATTCAAATCAATAATATAAAACATATTTGAGTTAAACCCCACATCGACAATGCAAAGATTAGAACCTTCTGTAATTCATTTTTCGATCCTTCAGCATCTATCTTTTCAGTTGCATCAACACTTTTAGAGAAAGCAACATTTCAATAGCAAAATCTTCTATTCGTTGGGCAATAGATGACAAAGGATAAAGCTTGTTTGCAACCTGTTAGACAAAGCAACCCATAATGGAAACAAATTTAGAACCACACAATTAACTCGTTGATCAAATAGCAAGTTGCGAGTAAGTACCAGACATATAACCTTCATGCGCACTTCCTCCAGACGATGAACTGCACTCTTCCAGAGGAAAAAGAGAACAACAAAGTCAGATGAAATAAAGGAAAAAAGAAAATTTCTTCAACACATAAAGTTATAGAGGAATTTCAGAAACGGGAGTAACATAGAGATAAAAAAAAAAAAAAAAAAAAAAAGAACCTGTAAAGCAATTTTTAAGCATGGATATCGGAGAGGAGGTCTTAGCAAAATCAGGCTCCAGACAATGCTAAGACCTTGAGTCACTCGATCCCCACCTTGTGTTTCCTTCTGGGTTTTGCCGCAGTTTCCAGGGGAGCACATGCACTCCAATAATTTCAAAACTGAATCTGGTAAATAAGGAACCTCACCAAGCCATCTGCTTAGTGATTTGTCAGATGGTGGAAAAGAATCTCTAAGTGTTTCCACCTGCAAAGAAATGAAAGATATTATAAAAAGTTCTTCGACATTTGTAAAGCAAAAAGACGGTTAATAATGAGATAAAAGCACACCGCAGTTGAAAGGAACATTTCATATACAGAAGTAGCGGTTGTCGAAGAAAAGAAATCGCGTTCCTCTTCGGCCTCTCCAAATAACCTGTATAGGACACGCAATGTCAACTCATATCCCTGAAGAGATCCCACAGTCACTGTCAGTTAGTACATAATATATATATATATGCAAGAGAATCACAAGAACTCATAGTTAACAGCCATCATCCTTTTTTTTAACTATTAATATCTATTAAAAAATATCTGAATGAGTATTTGCAACAGAAATGAATTTCAGCCCAGTATCTATAAAATACAGTAGTTTATTACAGATGGTACTATCTCCAAGAACATGAGATATTTGCAATAACATCTGGTAAGGTTAACAGGTATGTAGTTCTTAAAATTTCTACATCGAAACACATAACTGAAATGGCCGCGCTCCAAATTCCAAAACATATATTTAAAGTTTGGGTAAATTACATTTTACCACCTTGCGTTTGAGTGCAATTGCAACCTCATACAACATCTTTAAAACATTTTACCCCCATACACAAACCTTTATTCTGTTGCAATTTCATACATCCGTTAGTTAAATCGTTTGTTTGACCGTTAAGTAATGACGTGGCAAATGCATGACCCACATATTTGATGACGTAGCATATAAAAAATAATTGGTTATCAAAAAATAATTTAAACAAAAAATTAAATTAAAACAAAATAAAAAGAGGCCCACCCCTCAAACAATAAAAAAACCTTCAAACTTCCATTAAACAGATCATCCTTTTCTACGCAGCAACTGTATGTGCTGCTCACATATAACCACCCATTGTGGTCCAAAGGACTCAAACAGAGTTTTCAATTCTAATAAACGAAAAGTGCATTCTTGTAAATATCAAATTTACACGATCAAATAAAAAAATTACAACTATATCATACAATCATCAAATCCCGTTCACATACCTCATTATTCGTATAATCTGCCAAGATGTGCTTCTCCAGCAGTTTCTACTTTCCATGGGTCTAACTCCAAAGGGAACTACAAAGATAAATCAAATTTTTGTTCTGTAAAAAACTACAGCACTAAAATGGTTTTCATCGAAATTAAGAAAATGACATCATCAAGTTAGCCTCCACTAAGAATGCCCAGTTTCAGCCCCTAACCCTAACACCAAAAAGAAATAAAGAAAAAAACTAAAAGGAGCTTAAGAATAAAATAAATAAATATCTGAAAAACAATAACTAGAATTGAAACAAGGAACTACAATCACAGCCGGTGCAAATTACAGTTAGCCATTTAGAAGAAGCTTGAATTACTACCTCAACTCCTAGACTTATAAGGAGAGAACATTGTATTTGGGAAGCTCCAGCAACGGCTATTTGCTTATATGCCCCGATGATGCGAGTAAAAGCCAATTGCTGCAACCAATCTTTCTCTTCATTAGAAAGGATAACAACCAGCTCCGACATCTTGGGCAGGACAAGATGATAGTACAATCCAACTGAAGTTGCTGTCGAAGAAAGCAGGCTGATATCTGCAACAGCTGATCGTGGACTGAGCTCCTCAGACTTATCCGTTGACAGTGATGGAGGTATATTAAGTGGAGCCTTTCGATTCATACTGGTAACTTGCTCTTGGCTTGCATTTTCTACCTTAAGACTGGTACATGTAAGGATATAGATATAGACAGTGGCTAGGATTGTGCCATCTGTCACAGGATTATAACTCTTAGTTAGTTAAGTTGTTAGAGAATGTATTCTTTCTATAAATACATCATTGTAATAGTTTGAGATTAAGTAAAACAGAAAATAATAATAAAGATTCAATAGTTCTCTCTCTCTCTCAATCTTTCCCTCTCTATTTCTTGAAGCTCTGTTCTTCTCTCTTGATCTCTTCATTTTCTGTATTAACATGGTATCAGAGCCATTGTTGCTCACGCTATTTTCTTCGATTCTTCGGCTGCTTCCGCTTGATCTCTCGATTTATCATCCTTTCTGTTTCTCGACGACGGTACATTGCTGCGTCTTTGTTGCCTTCTGTATTCTCTTCTTTTCTGATTTCTCGGGTTTCTGGTTTTCTTGATCTTGTTTTTCCTGCGATTTCAAGATTGTGCACACCAGGTGTTTGTGATATTTCCTCTGTTGATTTTTCATTTCACGTCTACAACGATGGTTACTGTTTCTCAATTACAACTCCTTCAATCACCTATTACTGGTCTTATCTCTACGATTTCTACATCTGTGAATGTTAAGCTTGATGATTCTAATTACTTGAATTGGCAATTTCAAATGCAATTATTGCTTGAGGGGCACGGTATTATGCGTTTTGTTGATGGCTCCACTCCTTGTCCATCTCGCTATATTACTGGTTCGTCTAATGCTTCTGGTGTTGGTGCTGAGACATCCTCCACTCCATCTGAGAATGAAGATTACATTGTCTGGAAGATGCACGATCGTGCTCTTATGCAATTGATTACTGCAACTTTGTCTCCTGTTGCGATCTCTTGTGCTATTGGAAGCACAAGTGCCTGTGATCTTTGGACCAGGTTAAAGGAACAATTTTCTGTTGTCTCTAAAACTAGTATATTTCAGCTCAAGTCGAATCTTCAAACCATTAAGAAAGGGGCTGATTCAGTGTCTCGATATCTCCAAAGAATTAAGGAAGCTCGGGATTATCTTTCTGCTGCTGGAGTGATCTTTGCAGATGAGGATATTGTTATTTTAGCCCTCAATGGTCTACCTCCTGAGTTTAATACTTTCCGAAGTGTTATTAGGGGTCGTGAGAGTGTTATTTCTCTCCAAGAATTCAGGGTGCAACTTCTTGCTGAAGAATTGATTGTTGACAGTAATGTGCCATCTCAGTTTATGTCTGCCATGGTGGCAAATGACTCTGGTGGTCCTAAATTCTCTGCATCTCAACATCAATATGGGGGTCTTCCTTCTGGTGCTTCAGAACATAATTCTGGTTCCTCTGGTGGATATCGCTCTTTCTACAACAATAAGAAGGGTAAAGGCAGGTCTAATCAGGGATATAGGTATCCTCCTCCTAATCCTAGACAGCAGTTTTCAGCTCTTGGATCTCACCCTGCACCTGTATTCTCTGGGGTTCTTGGATCCTTTCCGTCACAGTATCTTGGTCATTCCTCTCCACAACAAGTTCCTTGTCAATTGTGTAATCAACTTGGTCACACTGCTCCGTTTTGTCATTCAAAACCGTTGGAACGACAGGGCTGTCAAATCTGTGGTAAGAGGAATCATACTACCTGGTATTGCTTCTTCAATGACAAAGGTCCCAATTTTGGTGGTCCAAACTATCCTCATATGTCAAGCAATGCGTATGCTCCTTCTGCACCTCCTCAGTCCAATTTTCAGGCTCTGCATACAGTCTCTTCTCCGTCACCTTCAGCTACCACATCTCATCATCAACCACAAATTTGGCTCACTGACTCGGGGGCCACAAATCATATGACTACAGATCTCAGTAATTTGTCATTGGCCTCTCCCTATCCCTCTAATGAGACAGTGCAAACTGCTAATGGTGCAGGTTTGGAAATATCTCATATTGGTAGTTCTATTATTCAAACACCTGTGCAGCCTCTCAAATTGAACTCAATTCTCTATGTGCCTAAACTATCTCACAATTTGTTGTCAGTTCATCGCATTTGTCTTGATAACAATTGTTGGTTGGTGTTTGATGCTTTTTGTTTCTGGATCCAGGACAAAGCCACATGGAGGATATTATACAAGGGCCAATGTAGTAATGGACTCTATCCTATTCCTTCTCTTGTCGATCCTCATTCCCTTCCTTCTCACGGCAATTCTAAAGATTTTGCATTGCTTGGACAGCTTGTTAGCTCTAATCTCTGGCACAATAGGTTAGGACACCCGTCCAATAATGTTGCTTCTCTTATGCTTAGTAGGTCTCACATATCTTGTACCAAAGATTCTGCTCCTATGCTCTGTCATAGTTGTTTAGAGGGCAAGTTCACTAAATTGCCTTTTCAGTCTAGTGAACACAAATCTGTAATTCCATTTGAAATTGTACACAGTGACCTTTGGGGTCCTTCTCCGTGTAATTCCATTGATGGATACAAGTACTATGTGACTCTTATTGATGAGTGCACTAGGTATTGTTGGTTGTTCCCTCTTGTTAATAAATCAGACTTCTTTGAGACTTTTGTTGTCTTCTACTCCTTTGTACATACTCAATTCTCTGCTTCTATTAAGATTTTACAAACTGATGGTGGGGGGGAATATAGCAGCAATAAACTTACCAACTTTCTTCACAGTAAAGGGATACTTCATCATAAGTCTTGTCCACATACTCCAGAACAAAATGGCTTGGCCGAGAGAAAACATAGACATATTGTTGAAACTACTGTCACCTTGTTACAATCTGCCAAGTTACCTTCTTCTTTCTGGACTTTTGCTTGCCAAGTTGCTGTCTATCTTATAAATCGAATGCCTACCCCAGTTTTGAAACAGTGCTCACCGTTTGAAATGCTTTTTGGGACTCCTCCTCTTTTAACACATCTTAAGGTGTTTGGATGTTCTTGCTTTCCTTTGTTGAGACCTTATATTCAATCCAAGTTTCAAGCTAAAACCATTGAGTGTGTTTTTCTTGGGTATGCATCCAATTACAAAGGTTTTATTTGCTTTGATGTGCTAAAGGGTAGGTTCTACATTTCTAGGCATGTAGTATTTGATGAATCTAGATTTCCCTACCCTCATTTGTCTTTATTACCTAAGCACCACCCTGTCCCATCTTCTTTCTCTCAGTCCTCCTCCCCTCTTCCATTCACAACCTTGGATAATCTCTTAGTTCCAACTCCACCATCACCCTCATCTTCACCATCACACTCTTTATCTACTGAGATAATATCTTCACCCTCAGTTTCTTCTCAGTCCATTACTGCTACTACAAGTGGTGCTCCTCCACTCCCTGTGGACTCTGATTTTGGTCCTGATTTACTTCCGGTGGTCTTACCAATTGCTCCCCTTAATTTGCATCCTATGCAAACCAGAAGTAAGAATGGCATCTTCAAGAAGAAAGTGTTTTTGAGTCATGTTGCTGATTCTAGCAATGTTGATTTAACCTTGGTAGAACCTGCCACATTCAAGTCTGCAATGAAAGTACCAGTCTGGTTTCACGCTATGCAGGAAGAGATTGATGCATTGCATCATCAACACACTTGGAGTCTTGTCCATTTGCCTCCCAATAAGAATCTTGTTGGCTGCAAATGGGTTTTCAAACTCAAAAAGAATTCAGATGGTACAGTGGCTCGGCATAAAGCTCGACTTGTTGCAAAGGGGTTTAGTCAAGAACCTGGCTTGGATTATGGTGAAACCTTTAGTCCAGTGGTTAAACCAACCACTGTGAGGTTAGTTCTCGCTTTGGCAGCTCATTTTAATTGGAATCTTCGCCAATTGGATGTCAAGAATGCGTTTTTACATGGATTTCTAACTGAAGAAGTGTATATGGCCCAACCCCCTGGTTTTGGAGATGCTGCACATCCTGAATTAGTTTGTAAACTTCACAAGTCACTGTATGGGTTGAAACAGGCTCCTCGAGCCTGGAATGACAGATTTACAAGCTTTCTTCCCTCTCTTGGGTTTCAAGCCACTTATTCAGATTCTTCTCTTAAGACCTATTGTGGTGCTTTTACTCTACGTTGATGATATCATTATCACTGGTAGTTCTACTCAACTTATTCAACAGGTGATTCATTCTTTAACTGCTGAATTTGATATCAAGGACTTGGGTGTGCTGCATTATTTTCTGGGCATTCAGGTTACCAAAACTGCTCAGGGGTTGTTTCTTTCCCAGTCTAAATATATTACGGATTTGTTGCAGAAAGTTGAGATGATGGATTCTAAAGCTTGTGATACTCCTTGCTTACCTAATAATAGGTTACTTAAGGACGATGGTTCTCCTTACAACAATCCCACAGTTTATCGCAGTATTGTTGGTGCCCTACAGTACCTCACGTTTACTCGCCCAGATATTGCATTCTCAGTTCATCAAGTGTGTCAATTTATGCAATCTCCAATGGTGTCACATTTTACAGCTGTTAAGCGGATTTTGAGGTATCTCAAGGGGACATTATCTGTTGGCATGGCCTATACTCGGGGCGATTTGACATTGAAAGCATTCAGTGATGCAGATGATTGGGCTGTGATCAATGATCGGAGGTGATACTGGTTATATATTCTTGGGCAACAAATCCTATTTCCTTGGTCCTCCAAGAAACAAAACACTGTTTCTCGTTCTTCTACTGAAGCAGAATATAGAGCTATGTCTACTACATCTGCCGAGCTGGATTGGATTCAACAGGTGCTGGACTTTATGCATATCAAGTCTGCTCCTACTCCTGTTCTCTTCTGTGACAATCTTTCTGCCATAGCGTTGTCTTTTAATCCCGTTCAACACCAACGCACGAAACATATTGAGAGATTGATGTGCACTTTGTGCGTGAAAGGGTCGCTAAGAAGCAAACTGGTTGTTCAGTTTGTATCCTCTCGAGAGAACAATTTGCTGATATTCTCTGACTAAGGGTCTCAGTGCCCCTCTGTTTCGGTCTCATTGTTTCAACCTCATGCTTGGATCATCCACTCATGAGTTTGAGGGGGCATGTAAGGATATAGATATAGACAGTGGCTAGGATTGTGCCATCTGTCACAGGATTATAACTCTTAGTTAGTTAAGTTGTTAGAGAATGTATTCTTTCTATAAATACATCATAGTTTGAGATTAAGTAAAACAGAAATAAAACTAATAAAGATAATCAATATTCAATAGTTCTCTCTCTCTCTCAATCTTTCTCTCTCTATTTCTTGAAGCTCTGTTCTTCTCTCTTGATCTCTTCATTTTCTGTATTAACAGTACATTGCTCTAGGCTTGCATCTTCTACATCCATTAAGGCTGATGAGGATGTAACGATAGGTTCTGATCCACTATTCCATATCATGATCAGATGGAATTGATGGGCAACTATGCTCGGTTTCAGATGAAGCTGGTAAACCCATAGGTAAGATAGCAGTATCATATCCAAAAACATAATCCATGCCGGTAGATGCAACACCACTATCAACTACAGCTGCTACATGTTCTTTCTCCCTTTTAAATTTCTGCAATTACCATAAACATTTCAACTCTAGAATAAAAGAAAAGAAAAAAAAATGGGTGAAAACCAAAATGAGAATAGAAAACTGTACCACTATATCATTGGACACTGACTCACGAGCATCTAGAAGTGCAGCTATCGGAGGGAAAGTACTTGTAAGTGAAAGAACATCAGCAATAAATGATGGTGGATATTTAACTTGAGAATCACCGCCGAATATACCCATGTTCATCAGAGATTCATCTCCTTCAGTTCCAATAAGATTGAGTGGAAGGTTGCACATATTAGCCATCACTACTCTTAACATTCTTGTATGAGCTGAAGAATCTGTGAGAAAAATAAACCCTAGTAATCTTGTAGAGGAAGAAAGAAAGCTCAATTGTATTTCTCTGATCTTCTGTTTTTACATACACACCGACTTAACAGAAAAAGAAAAGAATATAAAGCCTATTTATACCACATATCAAAAGTAGCTTATCTCTAAACCTAGTGCTAACATGGCAATTGCCTTATGTGGCACATGTATATCCAATACCCCCCCTCAATCTTAACTGGGATACCCCAGATTAGATTGTTACAATGTCGAAGAAAATCGGGGCCATGTAAAACCTTGGTAAGTATATCTGCGATTTGGTCTTGGGTAGGCACATACTGCACATACTGCACATCCATATCTCCATCCATATCTCGGAAAAGTGAACAAATCTGTCTTTTCTAAATGCTTGATCCTTGAGTGATGAATAGGATTCAAGCTCAATGCAATGGCAGATTGATTATCACACAGCAAAAGAGGTGGATTGGAAACAATAGCACACAAAAACACACAATATCAACCGAATCCATGCAATATCAGCAGCAGCATGTGCAAGAGCTTTATATTCTGCTTCGGTGGCTACTGAACTGCGAGAAACAGAACTTTTTTCTTGGATTGCCAAGAGATGGGATTGGCACCAAGATAGACCACATAACCTGTGATAGACCGTCTGGTATTAACATCAGCAGCCCAATCAGAGTCACTATAACCTCTGATATCAATCCCACTACCAGAAGTAAAAGTCAATCCACATTTCATTGTGCCTTGTAAAAACTGAATAATTCGCTTTACCAAACCAAGATGAACATCAGTAGGAGCATGCATAAATTGACACACAGTATTAACCGCAAAAGCAATATCTGGCCTTGTAAAAGTTAGATATTGCAATGATCCAACAAGGCTTCTGTACAAAGTAGGGTCTATCAACAATTCCCCTTCAGCAACCAAAACAGAACTATGAGGCTTGCAAGGAGTAGCACATGATTTACAATTATCCATGCCTACTTTATGAATCAAGTCCTTAATATACTTCTCCTGATGAACAAACATAGCACCATTGGACTTGTATTGGATTTGCAAACCCAAAATATGTTAATTGACCCATGTCCGTAAGAGAAAAAACACCAACAAGATCATCAATAATAGATTGAATTAAAGTAGTATTGGAGCCTGTAAGGATTATATCATCGACATAGAGAAGTAGTATAACCATATCAGTACCCACTTGTTTAACAAAAAGACTGGAATCTGAGGAAGAAGTATGAAAACCCACGGCTGCCAAATAACCTGTAAATTTAGCATTCCATGCTCGGGGAGCTTGCTTAAGCCCTTACAAGGACTTAACCAACTTACACACATGTGTTGGACACTGAAGATTGACAAACCCTGGAGGTTGCTTCATGTACACCTCCTCATTTAACTCTCCATGTAAAAAGGCGTTTTTCACATCAAGTTGTCGGAGAGACCATTTATAAGTTGTAGCCAATGCAAGAATCATCCGTACAGTTGTGTGCCGAACCACAGGACTAAAGGTCTCTGTATAATCCAAGCCTTTTTCTTGACTAAAACCCTGAGCAACAAGTCGAGCTTTATATCGAGAAATAGTCTCATTAGGATTCCTCTTGATTTTATACACCCACTTACATCCAATGATGTTTTTATCAGAACGAGAAGGAACGAGAAGCCATGTACCTTGGGTTTGAAGTGCATCATATTCATCTTGCATCGCAGATTGCCATTGAGGCAATTGAGAAGCAAGTTTAAAAGTTGCAGGTTCAGCAGAATCTGTAATATCGGCAATGAAGGTGAATCCACCAGAAAAATGAGTGTCTTCATGTAAGGTTAGTGAGTGAACTTCATGAAATGTTGCTGAAAGGGCAGAATAATCCCTTCTTGTTATAGCACCAGTTTTGGTCTCGTTTGAATTCCCTGAGGAATAGAAGAACTAGACTGAGATAAATCAGCCTCCAGTTGAAGGGAATTAGGCACAGGTAACATAGAAGAAGACTGAGAAGCAACTGAACTTGAGCTGATATGATGATTTTGAGCACCAGCAACAATATGAGGAGAAGATGTTGACTCCAAGCCATGTGTACTTAATGAAGAGGACACAGAGACATTATGTGGTTGAACATAAGAATCAATACCAGAGTGAGACAGATTTAAGGCATCCAAATGAACTACAATAGGGCGGGAAAGATTAGAAGTGGAAGACACACCAGTATCAGAACACCTTGTATCAGAAAGAGTGGTGGCAAAAGGAAAGCAATTCTCATCATGTAGAACATGTCGAGAAAGAAAGAACTTGTGTGTCAACCTGTTAAAGCAAATAGTTCCTTTATAACCAGAAAAGTAACCTAGAAAAACACATTGAGTGGATCTTGGTTGAAGCTTGTGATCATTGTATGGCCTGAGATAAGGATAAATGGCTGAGCCAAAGACTTTTAAAGATGAAATCTCTGGTAAAGTGTGAAACAACTTCTGAAAAGGTGAAACCATACCAATAGTCTTGCTAGGCATTCAATTTAGTAAAAACACCGCATGTGCCACAACATGATACCAAAACTTATGGGGAAGACTAGCAGCTGTCAACAAAGTAATAGCAGTTTCTATGATGTGTCGATGCTTTCTTTCCACTAAACCATTCTGTTGTGGTGTATATGGACAAGAAATAAAATGAACAATACCATGATTAGCAAGATAATCCTTAAATGCAGTGCTCAGAAATTCTCCTCCTCCATCAGATTGTAACACCTTAATCTTTGTGTTAAATTGATTCTCAACATAGGCAAAGAACTTGACAAATGTACCAAAAACCTCTGATTTATTCATTAATGGAAAGAGCCATACAAACCGAGTTGTTTCATCTACAAATGACACATAATATCTGAAGCCTTCTATAGATGCTATTGGTGAAGGATCCCAAACGTCACTGTGAATCTTATGAAAAGGAATCTCAACTCTATCTAGTCGTTCAACAAATGGTAATCTACTCATTTTACCACTAAAACAATGAGAACAAGGTTGATCCGGTACATCATGACTAAAAGAAATATTTGAACTCCTAAGCATAGCTGTCAAGACATCATTAGAAGGATGTCCAAGTCTGTGATGCCACAAAGATGACTTAACTGCTTTGCCAACAAATGCAGAACAAGAAGAATCATCTGGAGTCAACACCTTGGGAAATAAATGGACAGGAATGCGAAAAAGCTCAAGATTGTTACTCTTTCCTTGGTAAAGAATCAGCCCCGTTGCTTTGTCCTGCACATAGAACTGAGTATCATCACAAATAAACCAACTGTGATTGTCTTTACACAACTGCTGAACAGACAACAAATTGACTGTTAACATCGGCACATGCAAGACATTTCGAAGACATAAAGTATGTGAAGATGTAGGTAAGAAGGCAGTGCCAATGTGATTGACAGTTAAACCATCACCATTGCCAACAACAATTCGTTTATCTCCAGTATAAGGAATAGCTGTATCTAACAGATTAACATTGGGACTCATGTGATGTGAGGCACCAGTGTCAAGAATCCAAGAACCATCACCAGAAGAAGTTTGTGCATTCAAAGCAGGTATATCAGATGAAACATCATGATCTTAAGAACTACATAAAATAAGAGAAGACTGGCCTTGATTTACAGAAGCTTGAAAATCTGGAGGAACTTGTGGAGTAGTGAAAGAAACCCCTTGATAACCAGAAAGGTCAGGAAACTGAACTGGAGGTGGAACACCAGGATACTGGAACTGAGAAGGATAATCTTGAAAGGTATAGTTGGCACTGAGGGAATGAGGAGGAGGAGCCCCTTGGTAAGCATAGTTACCCCTGTGTCGACAATCAATGGCAATATGGCCCCTCTTACCACAAATCTGACATTCTTGCACAACCGGAGTAGTTTCATTTCTGTACAGACAAGTCACTGCCGTATGTCCTTTCCTTGAACAAATCTGACATTCAGGAACTATATTCGGTCTAGTGGTAGTGTTACCTGACCAGTAATTACTAGATCGATTACCATTGAACTTAGGTCGATAGCCACCATTCCCTTTGCCTCTGTAACCATTACCTCCAGATGAATTGCCATAGTTATGACCAGAAGAATTATAACCACTATGACCAGACTGAGTACTATAGGTATTACCAAAAGAAGTATGGCCATTATTATAACCAAAAGACCTAGGTCCCTGATTACCAAAATTATTTCTAGGCCCACTAAAAACATTAGCATTATGAGGAGGAAACTGCTGACAAGTCTGAGAAGTTGAGCCACCTGAATTAGAAGAATCGGGAGCAACAAGACCAAAGCCAAAATTGGATGACTATGGCACCGTAGAATCAGAACCAATAGAATGACTGGATGCATGTGAAACTGATTGATATGCAGAATTACCACCAGAAGAAAATGGAACAGAACCATTACCATACATAGCTGCCATGCTATGAACAAGAGACTGCATCCTAGCTTCTATAATCTTTTCAGCCCCTAAGAGTTGAGCCCTGAATTCTTTCAACGAGATAGGTGTATCTCTGGCCAATACCACAATTCTGATCGTATCAAAGTCAGCAGGTAAACCAGTCAATGCAGCAATAACCAAATCATTGTCTGTAATCTTTTCACCAGCTGCAATAAGTTTGTCTTTAATTGCCTTTAACCTCAACAAAAACTTATCAACATTATCACTTCCTTTCTGAATAGTGTGTAACTCAGCTTTCAAATGATTCACAGTAGCACTTGAGACAAACATATATCTATCTTGTAAGGCAGTCCAAGCTTCATGAGTAGTTTTACAACCAACAACATATTCCATGGCATCATCACTCAAAGTGGCAATAAGAAGACTCAAAAGAGCCATATCAGTTTGAACCCAAGCTTTATATGCAGTACTAATTTCATTGGTAACCCCTAATTCAGGAGTAATAAGAAATTTGGGATGACAAACTGATTCACCAGTAAAATGATCAAACAAATCATACCCACGAAGAACAGAACAGAATTGAAAGTTCCACTTGATGAAATTGTCATCATTCAACTTAATAGTCAACATTCCCAAAAGATTTTCAAGTTTAACTGAGTCAGTCATCATGCGTGAGTAGAAATTGACACCACACAGAAATGGGAACAGAAAAACCCAGAGAAATCTTCTTCCAAAACACAGAATTCAACAACAAGAATCTACAATCTTGATGAACAATTGGTTATCGACCTTAGTTCATCAACCAATATGAAATTAATTGGCATCGGCCTTCAAGAAAACAGTCAAATCTTCAACTAAAAAAAAAAAACACAATATGTGATGATTCATCGAGGCATCGGCCTTTAACACAGATGAATCCAAGAAATTCGGAAAAAAAAAATTCCCAAATTTTCTTCAATCGAGAGAAAGAATCAAGAAAATCTCACGGAGCAGCGGAAAGAACACACCCAGAATCAATCGCGCAAGCATATCTGGCTCTCGATACCATCTTAACATTCTTGTAAGAGCTGAAGAATCTGTGAGAAAAATAAACCCTAGTAATCTTGTAGAGGAAGAAAGAAAGCTCAATTGTATTTCTCTGATCTTCTGTTTTTACATACACACCGACTTAACAGAAAAAGAAAAGAATATAAAGCCTATTTATACCACATATCAAAAGTAGCTTATCTCTAAAGCTAGTGCTAACGTGGCAATTGCCTTATGTGGCACATGTATATCCAATAACTACCTCTGCTAACACGTCAGCAGAGATACTGGAGATAAGAATTTCCAAAGAACCAACAGCTTTTTCACCTTGAGCAACCAGCGCATCAAACATAGCAACAAGTTGCTGTACAGGTCCACTATCACCATCTCCTCTAGAAGTGGTAGTTCCACTTGAAGAAACGTCATCTTGAGACGCAGAAACATTCCTATCTAACTCTTTAGCCGAATCCCCAGAGACACTGGATGTCAATTTGGCACGCTTTCCTGATACATCTTCATCCACTGCAAGATCACTACTATCAAGTGCTCCTAACCGTTTCTTCCCGGAACTACTTTGCACAGCATTAGATATGTTAATAGTGGGCTTCTCTTCCTGCAAAACATAAAGCTCATGCTCAAGAAGCTTCAAGATACATGATGCCCATGGCCCAATGTGTTTTTTTTTTAGCCTCTACAGATCTTATATAATATGAAATAGGAAGAAAAGGTGAAGGAATACCTTAGTAACTAGAGAATCATCTAGCCCGTCTTCCACACTTCCATTAATCTTGCATTCTTGCTGGGTGGCTAGCTCTACCAGCCCTCCAGCTTGCATCTTTCTCATATCACCAACCAAACGATCCCGCCACTGCAGAATGCAAACTCCATTATTCAGATTCTTTATACTAAAGTAAATCACACAAAGTAGAAACAAGGTTACATCAATTAAAGAAAACAAACTGTATTGTATTGCAACAGATAATGAGAATGATGAACTATTCCTTTTACAAGAAATCAATGTTTCAAAGCTATTAATGCTTTCAAAGCTATCAGTATTTCCAAAGGTATCAATGTTTTCAAAGCTGAAGACAGGCAATAAAATTCGTGGAATTGTTCAAGCGTAAAAAAATCCTCCAAGTGGGTTTCTAATTATATTCTTTGAACCTTTACTGAAAGAGTTTGTCTGACACTTCTTTTGGGTTGGAAATATTTTGGGTAATCACTAATCGACATACACTATCATTGATCCATTGATAGACTAAATAAGATGGTGATAGAAGTTTTCCCCACTTTTGTTATAAAATGTTGAACATACAAGTGCAAACTGTTCATAGAAATCTTTTGAGTAAGGCCCCGTTTGTTACACATCCTAAGAGCGGCAGGCTTAACTAGGATTACAGTCCTATGTTTGGTATGGTCAAGGACTACAATAATGAGACTAACATGGATTAAAAGAGGCTTTGCGCCTCACTAAACCCCATAATCTAATCATGAGCAAAGCCCGGTATTATAAAGTACGTGCTAGAAACCTCTTGGCTCCAAACCTGAATCAACCTTGTGCAGGTCTCCAGCTGTAGACGGGTTGGACTGATCGGAGAGGGAATTTTGGAGAGGTGGAAATCTGGGTGGACGATTTGGAGAAGGTGATTTTAGTTTGGTGTTACCGTGTTACAATAGACTTTGGTTATGGTTGATTGAACAAAGGAAACAAATTAAACAGAAATTGTCGCAGATTGAGATGCTGCAGTGTGCCATGGTAGTTGTTCTGGTATATTTCTTATCTTCAGGAAGCTCTGCACTTCCACCCAAATACCATCAAGAATTTCAACTTGGCTGAAACTCGAGCACCCAGATCCTCTCTCTATCTCTCTCGCGGATATGGAATCTCCCAACCCAAATCAACCACCACCAACCCACCACCGCAAATACCTACAGAGGTTGATGGAGAAGACAAATGTCAAACCAAATCTACCAGACAGGTTTCCAAACTAGAATCCGTATGAATATCTAGTACCAACACAGTCTCTGAAATGGAATAGGACAATTGGTTTCCAAAGATCAAGCTGCTACTCCACCGCAACAGATCATGCAAAGGGAAAATTCTATGGGGTATTTCTAGAATCAATTGTTGGACAGCGTGCACTCAATCACAATACCATGACAGACACATTTTCACGTTTTGTAGAAAGTTCTTCAATTGTAGCAACATCCTTACTGAAAGAATAAATACTATATTTATGATTGAATATGATCCTAACTCCTTAATAAGTTGACATTTACCCAAAACATAGGTCATCATGCCACTCAAAGAACAATTCTTTATAAATTTAAACATCATCGTTCGGGGTAACTGTTTGATATCAGGAGACATAGTTATCACTTATCAACACCCATGACCTAGGTTCATACATATGTTATGTTTAAACTTTTTTCTTACCAAACCCAGTGACTAAAGAGGGGAAACGAAAAGAAAATTCCCTTATAACATGCACTTCCTCCTATTATTGAGAGGCAGTGTTTGTAAAGTGAGAACAATTTTTACACCTTTTACTTTTCGGGTGATGTTAGAGAGAGACTATCTTTTTCGATCATATTTTGTAGATTACATGGTGTAGCAGTTGATGGTTGGTCTAAATCATTAAAAACGAAATTCAACCATCAACCACCACATCATGTGGTTTACAAAATAATGGTCTAAAACGATAGTCTCCCTAGCATTTCCCTTACTTTTCTCATGGAGAACAGCTCCTTTGGAGCTCCAGATATGGTTTACATATGTTTAATCTTGAAAACTAGTTTTAAATTGCAGAGGGTCATCTACACCTTATCAGCATTAAAATTTAGGACACAAGGCCAGTATGGAGTAATGCATAACAGTGGTAGAAAATTGAATATGGCCCAAGAAAACCAAGATACCTGTTAATAAGCACAACGATCACTAAGCTACCAAGCGATTTCACAGTTGGGAACCTGAGTTGATCAAGCAATAAACCCAAACTTTTACTAGCCTCAATTGACAAATCTCCAACATTGAGTAGGGGATGACCACCACGAAGCCAGGATACATTAAAATCCACCAAGTCCCCTACAAAGCGGACAAGTATCCTTCATAAGCAAAAACAAGCCAGTTCAGTTCTGAGCCTAAATAACAGAGTCAATTTTAATTACCTTCATGAGCAGGGGACGCCGGGGAGCCATTAGGGTCAGGAGTATAAAGAAGAATGAAAGACGGGCGGGTGTGGCGGGGGGCGGGTTGGGAAGGGAAAAGGGTGGGAAGTATGAAAGACGGGAAAATTTTTGAATTTCATAATTAAGTGAAACACGAGTGGCAAACGTGGATTATGTCAGTTGGTTAGGTTAATATGCCACACTTTGTATTTGAGTTGAATTCCTATTCCTGCAATTTAGAACTTGTTCGAATGTTCATTAAAAATGATTGAAAAAGTTTTTGATGAAAATGTTTTTAAAACTATTCTTTAATAAAAATGCAAGTAAATCATGAAAAAACACTTAAAGTGCTTTTTGGAAGAAGCAAATAACTGGTGCTTCTTTCAGAATGCACTTTAAGTGCTTTTGGAACCCAAAAACATATTCTCTAAAAGCGTTTTTAGTAATTTTAAAAACACATTCAAACGAGCCCTTAATAAAGTTACGTAGACCATATATGTACGGATTTTCCTATAATCATTCACTTACGTACCTAGTTAAACATTAATCCACAATATTTCATCCATATTTCCTTTTATGAGAGGAAAATGATTGTTTCTTTATATTACGCTTGTGAAAAACATTTCAAACGCAATATTCTATAAAATCCTTCTTACTTTGCCATGGTTGAAGGGCCTTTTCCCCTTCTTCAATTGAATTCGTGAAGCGTCTATTTATAAATATCAATGATCTACAATTGCTGATGCTATTGACGTTGGGGCATAAGTGTGTTACCATGGTAACTAAACAACTCCTGACCCGATATTATGGTAGTGAAGAATTCTATGGGATAATGATATTTTGATTTTCAATACTCTAATTTATGAGAAACCTTTCATGTGACAGTTAAACCGACATATAACATTATCCAACTAATTAGTAACACCACAACTATTAAAAACTTCTCATAACTCAAACTTGGGTTGTTGACCCCAAACTCAAACGGACTAGCATTCTCTTCTCTCATCTTTCTATCCCCTCTTCTCAAACTCTTTATTTTATCTTTCTTTCTATAAAAAAATTAATATAAAAACTTCGACAGTTCAAATAGAAAAAGAAAAAAAAGAAAAAAAAAACGAGGAGAGAGGATCTCTAACTCAAACTTGGGCCGATGACCCAAACTCAAACCCGAATCTTACCGGGACTTTCTTGGGTACTTGGAGAGTACTGATACTAAAAAATGTTAAATCTTTGTTGAAAATGTAAAAATTAGTATCTAACAGTTAAAAAAAAACATCGAAGTACCCCTAATGTCAAATTACGCTTAATTAATAAGCCAAAAGCAGAAAACATAACTTAATCCATTATTAAGCAAACAAAATCAATACTACAACCAAGTTTCCAACAACAAAGAAACCCAAAACCCCGGCGACCCACCACATTATCTTAATTTTTTACATGTAAAAACCCCACTAAAACCATCCAAACAGTCCCTTAAACCCACCAATCCACCCAAACAGTCCCTTAACTCCATCACTCAGACCGATTCGCAAACCTCTCCACCTTCTCATCCTTCAGATTCAACCCCACCATCGCCTCCCCCAACCCGCAGCTCACCTCCGCCAGCACATCCGGGTCACGGTAGTGCGTCACCGCTTGCACAATCGCCCTCGCCCGCTTTGCCGGGTCACCGCTCTTGAACACGCCCGACCCGACAAACACCCCGTCGCACCCCAGCTGCATCATCAGCGCCGCGTCCGCCGGCGTCGCCACCCCTCCCGCCGCAAAGTGCACCACCGGAAGCCTCCCCAGCTGCTTCGTCTGCATCACCAGATCGTACGGCGCCGCGATCTTCTTCGCGAAGGTGAACACCTCGTCGTCGTCCATGTTCCGCAAAACCCTAATGTCCCCCATCACGGACCGCACGTGCCGCACCGCCTCGATGATGTTTCCGGTTCCGGCCTCGCCTTTTGTCCGGATCATCGCCGCGCCCTCCCGGACACGGCGGAGGGCCTCGCCGAGGTTCCTGCACCCGCAGACGAACGGCACCCGGAAATTGTGCTTGTTGATGTGGTGTTCCTCGTCGGCGAGGGTCAAAACCTCGCTCTCGTCGACGTAATCGACGCCGATAGCTTCGAGGATTTGGGCCTCGACGAAGTGCCCGATTCTGGCCTTTGCCATGACGGGGATTGTCACGGCCTGCTTGATTTCTTTGATGAGTTGGGGATCGGACATCCGGGCGACGCCGCCTTGGGCGCGGATGTCGGCGGGGACGCGCTCCAGGGCCATGACGGCGCACGCACCTGCCTCCTCAGCGACCCGAGCCTGCTCGGCGTTCACGACGTCCATAATCACGCCGCCGCGGAGCATTTGGGCGAGGCCGACTTTGACGGAGAAAGGCGACTGCTTGCTCTCGGAAATTGCGCCGTTTCCGTACACCGCGACCACCCCTGAACCTGCCATTTCTACAGAGAAAGAGTGAAGGTTGTAGAGAGAGAAACGGGAGTGAGGAAAGAGGGTGGCGACCGACGAGGGTTTTGAGAGAGGATTGGGGGGGTTTATATAGGGTTGCGTTTGAATGGTTCTAAGAAAAAGGGAGGTGGGTACCACGCGAATGGAGTCGCGTGGGGTTACAAGGTGGGGTTGAGGAGTGTGATTAATTTTGAGCGTTGGATTTGTTTTTGTTTCGGAGTCATCGGTTGAACGATGGGAAGTATGTTGATCGGACGGTTAGGATCGTGGGAGCTGACACTCGATGTTGTGGAGAAGCCCGCATGGTAGTTTGTTTGAGTAGAGGCCACGCAATTTAATGAGCCGAATCCGTTTGCTACGTGGGAAGTGGGGGCTCCAGTCGTTGGTGATAAAAATGTAAAGACTCTGACTGTCCAGCCTCGAATCTTAGAATATGTTTATTTTTTCGAATTATTAATACCCTTTATCAATTCATAAATAAATATGCAATGAATGTGTGAGATTTGCTTCATATAATGAGTAAATGCAAGATATTGGATTAGTATGTGACAATAACAGCATGTTTACTTGTTTGAAATGAGTTTGGATGATTTTCTCTGTGTTTACCAACCTATAGAAGTTAACCTATAGATTATTTTTGTGTTACAAAAAGTTTAGGGAAAGATGAGGCTACCTCATCTCACAGCCATGACATATCACAACCCTTTTTAAGAACTTATAGAAGAGGTCTTAGCCCCTTTTAGTGGACTTGAATATTAGGCTTATTGATACCTGACTTCAAACACATCCATAATAAATAAATAAAAAGATATATAGCTGTCACATTATAATTCATGGTTCAAACCTAAAGAACAAAATGATTAATTTACTATTTGTCTTATTTTCATGATTTTTGTTGCTTTGTTTCCAAGTAAGTAGATAAATATAAGACTAGTGAAAGAGCAAAAATTGCAATTTTCTTTCTCAACCTCACTCTTTAACATACACCCCATTTCTCTTAAACAAGTCGAAAAAAGTGATGAAAATGGAACTAAACAATGGATTTATTGAAGAAATTAGCCATCAGTTTAAAGGCACTTTTTGACCAACACATGCTTTCACCATATTTTTTGTCGTCGTCGCAGACTCACAGACTCGCACTAGTAAGAGGATAAAGGCGTCTTCAACTTGGCCTTCTAAAATTTCTTTATTTATTGTTATCTTTTAGTTGAGAATTTATTTTATTTTATTTATCACAAAACTATCTTTCATCACATTAAAAACTAGTAAAAGGTCCAAAAAGAACCAATTAAACAACTACACAGAAAGTACAAAACCCAAGCAAAATGAAAGAGGTAACCCAAGATACAACGGGAGACTCACACAAACTTAAGCTCCAAAGGCTGCAAAAAATAAACAATAAAGATCCTAATCTCCAGCAAAGACCACCGATCCGAGCAAAATGCCGAATGTGATGGGGATCCGACTGCTGGTTGGGGAAGGAAAGTGAGGAAGGGAAGTGGATTTGATATCCAATTTCTAATCGGAGCCCACCGATCCGAGCACATGGTGGGATGGGATGGTATCATAACTAGGGAGGGGGATGAAGGAAACTTTAAAGACAAAAAACAATAAAAGCAAGCGAAAAATGCCAGGCATGAAGTCCGGGTGTCACATCCCAAACCGGTTCTGCCATAACACGATATTGTCCGCTTTGGGCCACACCCTCACGGTTTTGTTTATGGAAACTCAAGCAAGAACTTCCCAGTGGGTCACCTATCCTAAGATTGCTCTCACCCAAACTCGCTTAACTTCGAAGTTCCAATGAAATCCGAAGCCAGTAAGTTCTCAAAAGGTCTCGTGCTATAGGAGGTAGGCATGTACATATAAAGCACATCATCCCTTCTCCATTGGTCGATGTGGGATGTTACAATTCACCCCCCTTAGGGGCCTGACGTCCTTGTTGGCACACTCGCACCACACGGCAGAGTGACTCTGATACCATTCTGTCACATCCCAGTCTCGACTTTGTCGTAACATAATATTGTCCGCTTTGGGCCTTAGCCACGCCCTCACGATTTTGTTTCTAGTAACTCACACAAGAACTTCCCAGTGGGTCACCCATCATGGGAATGCTCTTGCCTGAACTCGCTTAGCTTCGGAATTCTAATGGAATCCGAAGCCAGTGAGTCCCCAAAAGGCCTCGTGCTATAGGAGGTGGGTATGTACATATAAGGCACATCCCCCCTCTCCGTTGGTCGATGTGGGATGTTACACCGGGATAATTGAGATTTGGCTCAAGGAAAAATGAGATTCAACTCAAGGGAGAACTGAGAATTAAAAAGGAAGGGAGAAAACTGGTAGAGGTGAAGGAAGAGGACGATGGAAGCTGGGAGGGGAAGGAAGATGAGAGGGGAGGAAAAAAGGGGGAGGGCAAAGGAGAAAGAAATTGAGAAAAACTCAAGAGGAAATAGAGAAGAGAGAGGAAAAGAAGAAAGGAAGGAAGGAATGAGGGGTGGATGCCTCCGGCACCTAAGCCAAAGGCTAGGGCCGACGGCGAAAGTTTCTGAAATTGTGTTTCACATAGAGCATTTTAGAGAGAGAAAATGGGAGATTTTTAGAGAGAGAGCCGAAACTACTTCAGTTTGGATTTTTGGGAGGGGCAGCTTTGGAGGACTACGTTTATTGGACAGTCTTTTTCGCCATCACGTAGACAAAGGACAAAACCAAATCTTTGTTCCACTTTTAAGCCTTTTAGGTCATCTCCAACCGAAATGGCTAAACATAACCCTGCAAAAAATATTTTTAATTTAACATTGTCATACCCATATTCATATACCATCTCTAACCGAATGGGCTAAACATAGTTGCCTCAATAATTTATTAGTTTTAAGTTTATACTTTACTTATTGGTTAATTTAATTAAACTACCGTTGAAAATTTTCAAATCTAGTCGATCAATTTGAATTAATTATTGCAACTGAAGAGTTGAGCCCCAAAAAAGGGCTAAGAGAAAGGCTACATTTGGCCAACCTAATGCCCATTTGGCCAAATAATAGTCTGGTGAGCTTTATAAAATTATAGCCTAGTCATCGGTTGGAAATGAATTTTTGGACAAATCATATCATTTTTTGACCTTTAGACCTTTAGCTCTCCCCATTGGAGATGACCTGACTTTCATCAATGCAATTCATCTTAGATATTTCTAACTGTTTACCAATTAGCAATGAATATATTCCGTTACTAATGGGCCATTGTGCGTACGTTTTGCGAATGTATCCATCCAATATAATGATGATACACTATAGTGGAGATACATTGTCAATACACCGTGCACACAATCCAGGTGCACGGGTGAGCAAACCTCGAAATGTAAGATGCCCGTGTTGCTTGTGATTTTGTTTGAGCAGGCTGCTCTAGTTCTAATTTATGAGAGAGGGTCTCACCCAGAAACGAAACAAAAGCACATTATTCTGACCAACTGTCCAAACCCTACATATACACGTAGACAGGAAACGATCAAACTTGGGTACAAACAGACGAGCAACATTGTCCCGGCCAACACATCAGCCTTCTCAAACACCTAAACAGGAGGAGATTAAACTGGGGAACAAACATTCATGAACCCGGTTTTACAACCAGTTCTTTTTCCCTACCTTAACGAGGTCTAGTGACAAATTGAGTTCAATCACACAAAATAAGATGCATAAATTTGTAGAGCAGTCTGAAAAGGGGTTGAACAAACAATATACATCAACAACATTATTATCGTTGAAGATTACAGCTCAAAATCAAATAACTTAACCCAACCTACAACGTGGGAAAGAAAAGAATCGAGAAATTTGAATTCTTTATCCTATTTAGGCGTATCGAGGCTCTCTATACCCGGAAATAATAATACATATGGGTAAGCCGTTGTAAAACGACAGGGCATGGCCTTTTTTAATCCGCACTCAGAAACTACCCAGGTAAGTAGGTAACCATCTAAATTTAGCTCTGATCATTTATATTGACAAGTAGTAAAGAATGGCGCACACCAGCATTACAAGGAGGTTGAATTACTTAAACTGTAAAGATCTTCCTCACCTTCTTTATGTTCCTCCGACAAACTGGACAAGTAGCAGCTGCCTCCGCAATCCTGTGAAAAATTGAAAAATGTAATCAATCACTAAATTGGATCTGAAACAGATAAACAGGACAAATATGACGCGTGGAACACAGTTCACTAGTATTCTAGAAGCTTACTGGATGAACCTTGTATGAAATCAGAACCTTGGATAGCCTAATGGGCATTGGCCTCGCCAACTGACATAACTAGTTTGTGAAATTGTTGCAGGGTATAGCACAGAGCAACTTCGCAGTTAGATATGACTATAGAAAGTTATAAACGATTGAGAAAAATACCTTGTTGCACACTCAAAACAAGCCACACAATGCCCGCAGGGAAGGAAAAAGCAGTCCCTGGGAGCATCAAAGCAGATTGCGCAAAGACGACGAGTGTTATTACTTTCACCATCTCTTGACGACTTCCCTTCTCCAGCCAGAAAGTCTTCAAGATCCCCCTCATCGTTTGAGGCAGAATCATAAGATGAGCCCCAACTTGATTGATCATCATCTTTGTAGGAAAGCAATGGGGCTCTCTCAGATCTGAACTCATCATGTTGTACTCTTATTCCATCTTCATTGGTAAATCGGTACTTGTTTAAGAAGTTGAAGGCCAACAACATGAGCACAGTCATCCCACCTACACAGGCTAAAATAATTAAATATGATATAGATTAATAGACAAAGGTTACATTATGAAAAGAAATAAGAAAATGAGCCTACCTATACCAACGATATATGTGGTCCATCTTGGCCCATATGATAGTTTGACATACTGGTTTGCCATAGGAGTATCCTGAGGAAACCAAAAAAACGTAAGAAGAAAGAGTACCAACTTCCAGCATGACCTATTTATTTGATAATCCGCTAGATTAGTTTTACCTGCTCTGTACCAGGAGTGGTCAACACAGCCACATTTCCCTCCGGAAACAAAATTTTCAAAGTACAGGATTCATCCATGAAAGTACATTTGGAATAAGCCGTAGTTGTATTATACACTAAAGCATTCATTGTGAAGTTTAATTGCACCTGTTCAACGTCAAGAGGAACACAAGTGAATAGCGTGAATGGGTAACAAATCAACATCAGACCAGCAACAATATTCTTTAATGTGAGCTATAACAGCATTAGGAAAAGGGGAAAATAGAGACCCTTGTGAGGGATACTCTCAAGACCAACAAATCAGGATCTATGTCTAGCGCAAAATAAGGTTTTGCATTCTTACTCTCACTCAACCTGTTACTCACTGTAGCAGTATGCTGCGGTTAATGCCAATAACCACTGTAACAGCCCATGGTTACAGCAACAAGGATTGTATTAATCTCATAAGTACCATTTCCCAATATTTTAATCGGATGAGTACAGACCATAATAACATCTGCATTAATTCCTAGGTTATAATTTATTCTACATGTTCCACAATTACCTCCACAACATCTGCGTTCATGTTACCCACAGAAACATAGTAGGTAGAAGACTTTGATAGGTCCTGCTCAATCATACCACTACCTGTGAGGAAGCAATTCCTGACATTAGTATAGTACGATTGTGTTGAGACGACAATAAGATCATATTCCACACTTCGTCTCACCATGAATGAGGTTCCACGATAAAGTAGTATTAGGGTATGTTGGTTCTTCGAGCCACTGAGCAAGGCCTTCTTGACCTACAACGTTCTAGCTTCAGAATGCTATGGAGGTCGAATAAACTTTGCAATAAAGAAAAATGCATGGACAACTGCAGAAATTCTTATTTTTCAAATAATGCACAAAGACACCACAGAAAAAGAAATCGGAGAAATGTAGTAAGAATAATAGGTCCGGTAAGTGGCTAATTATGACTTCAGTTAAAAAGTTGGTCTGCAGTCTTCACTCACTAATGTGGCTTGCTATCTATAAAACAGTATTTCTAGGTATATACCCAGGAATTTGAGCGAAGGGTCGATGACTGCATAGCAGCCATCACGAAACTAATCAATTGGTATTCCACTTTCCTCAGCAGCCCGTTACACTAACCAAAACATACTCAAACTTACTATAAAGTATAGATACAAACAAGCATGAATATTTCTAAAATGAGGAGCATTTTGCATGGGAGAGAAAAGGAAATGTAGGTTATATACCTTGAGCAATAATAAGAAAAACAGATGAGCTCGGAGAGTTCACGCTGTATGATATACTTATTTGAGACCCTGCATTTAGGTAATATATCCAGTCCTGAAGAAGAAGCACAACGAATTATCATCCTAATCCTAACACATGCTCAAAAAAGATTTTAAAAATTCTCGCGACAGAATGCAAACTTGCCGTATGAGAATCAGCTGGAACCGAGACAGTACGCATTTCGGACCAAATGGTGGCAGTATCAAGAGGTGGAGTACTGTAGAAACCATATAGTACAGGCCCGGGATTTGATGCATTCAGCTCTTGTACCTAACAAAGACCAAACAAAAACCGACCCAGATTGCCAAACAGCACAAAAAAGCAGGCATTTCAGTAAAAAATGGAAAATGGTAAAGTTAGTGCAAAAATCTACCTTTATGGACTGCACAAAAAATGGGTTAGGTTGCAGAAGAATTGAAGTATTAGGGCCAAGTTCCAAACTCGAAGACCCGTAAACTCCCAAAATCAAAGTCAACGACACTGAAACATCCAATTACCATCAAATTATGGATAATCAAATAATTAATTAACCATAAAAACTTGATACAGATAATTTGACAAATGGATACAAACCGAAGAACCAGAAGGTGAGGAGGACGATGATGCAGGACCACGTGTCATCCGTAATCACCGTCGACACCTCATCTAACGCGGGCACATTTCCACCGTACAAAGTGCCCATTTCGTGGTTTTGCTCCAGCTCCGGATGCCGGAAATGGTTGTGTTGCTGGTACCGATTGTCATCGTCCTCCTCTTCCCGCACCTGTGAAGCGTTCGAAGACGACGTCGTAGCGACAGAAGCAGCAGCACCGCCCGAAGTGTCCGTACTGGTCGAAGCAGCAGCAGAAGAAGAAGATGAGGAGGCGGAGGAGGATGAAGACGACGGTTGGTCTTCCATTGCAAAGAGAGAGGGAAAGGTAACGCACCTGTGGAGGTCTGAGGAAGAAGGTCCATGGAGGGGAGGAGGCGCGGGTGAGTAACTGGTCCACTCACCAATCAGTCTTTCTTCTTCTCCGAAGGACTGGTAGCTGCGAAGGGTGACGGTTTTTTCTGGTGTTTTAGTGAATTGGATCCGCTACCGACCTTGTCCTAGCCAAGGGAAAATCCATCTGGACCATTGATTGATGTACAAAAGAAATCAGAAATCAGAGCGGTTGGTTTATGTGTGGTAGGCTAAAAAAATGAATTAATATAGACCGCTGGATTCAATTTGTGTTGTCAAGATTAGTTTTTCCTTAGACTCTGGACACCAAGATCCAATTCGGTGTTTTAGAGCATTTCCAAAGTAATAAATAATTTTTTAGATACAATAGATTTGAAGTCAACTTTTACAGCAACCATTTTGCTGCCAATCCATGTCATGTCACATAAAAATTGACATTTCATTTGAAAATATTAATATTATCATTTGTATTGTTATTGCTGATAATGACTTCGTGATGTTTCTTTTGAAAATGCTCTTAAACTTGTGTTTCTACCAGCCAATCAGTTGGCGCCAAATAAGGTCAGTTCCCACCCTCACACACCTCCAACTCCAACTCCGACGACTACTACAATTTGACGTCAAAAGTTGACTTGTAGTAGTCGTCGAATGCTGAATTGGATAGTGCGCTCAAATGTAGATTTCTCTTTTGTTTTTAAAGTATGCTACACTTACCATCTATTTTTAGAGATATAGGTCCGTCGACTTATGTGAGTCTTATCTCTATTAGAAGATGATACAATGACGGTACAAATATGCGGTAAAAGTAATATTTATGTTATTTTTATAGAAAAGAGACATGTGATAGTTGATTAGTCATAGTCAATGAAAGAGATGAGACCCACATGCAAGGATTATACAAATTATATTATTATATTTTCTTTATAAAATAAATGTGATAGACTTTGCGTATTAGTTTCTCTAAAATGAACTTTCATTGTAAGTTAAATGAGTTAGTGTTTTGTCGAATAAAGCAAAAGGTCTCACTTTGGCAATCTTACGAAATAACCCATAACTTATGTTAAATGTTTTCATTTCTAATTGCATTGAGTCTTTTGCATAAAAATTACACACCTATTGATTGCACGGATGATTAAGTACTAACAATATCAATGCTATTAATAATGGAAACCCGTCTCTTCAAAACTTTAACAGTTTTACCATCAAAGTTAATTTTCTTTAAAATGACTGAACACATTTCGAAGTTAGTGTCTAGAAACACGCTAAATTACTTCCCCAAAAAAAAGAGTACTGTAATTTGTATTAGTGGATAAAAAATGGTTTTACCTATTAAATCAATGAAACAAGTTGGAGCTATGATGCCCAACTAAATTGTTTGTTAAGGAATTTTCAGTAAAATAAGAGCCTCCATTCTCCAAGCCACCTAACCAAACGGAGAAAACGGCTCGAACCTTCTCCTCTACATACTAAATGAGCAAACCAGTGAACGAGCTTCCAACAAAACTGAATCTACTAATTAGGGCAAGGAAAGTTCTACCATCCACATATATAGCCATAGGCAAATTAAAGCGAAATCATAAGTGAAGGGAGCAAAGAAATTCGCCATTTAAATCGATTCGATTCGAGAATTGTAGTTTTCAATACGGAAGAACGACGTAAACAAATGAGGGAAAGGAGTCGAGATCTTCGGTCCTTCTTCGAGCAACAAGGATGGAAGGTTGTTGGCGTCTGGAAAAAAGGGTGGTACCGAGTCCGAACCAACCTCAAGATATAGCTTGGAGGACAAGAAACCAGATTCGCGTATGCCGTCTTCCTTTTCAATTGGCTTATTCCATAACAACTTGTACTTTTAAGGTGCAATAATTCGTGTAACATGATTTTAGAATCTTAGTTTGTAGATGGTCGTAGGATCGAAAACCTCCCATCATTTCATTGTTCAGTATCTATCTCTGATTAATTTATAATGAGTGAGGTTGCAGTTGCAGTATACATTTATAATTTATCCAGCATTCTATTCACATCTTCATTTTGGAACCTCAAAGTTTTCGGCGTCTACCAATTTTATGGGGTGTGTTTGAAACCATGGCTCTTGAATGATACATAAAATACTACGGGGTGTGCTTAATTTGCAGCTGTCAGATCTAGTGAATTAAAAAAGATCAAATAACAGAAATTAACAAGAGGTATGAGAGAAATAAAAGAAGGTGTGTAGATATCACACCCCAAATATTATTGTCATCTGACAATATGTACCATAAAAGTTTGTAACATATGAGGAGGAGTTAGATGAAGTCGTACACAACTATAGTGGCGTGCCGGTTTGATAACACAATATAATGTGAAATGATATTGCACATACTATTGTGTTATTAGATTGAGGTGTTACTGTAAAAGTATGTCCGGTCTATCTAAGTTGCTGATGCATATAAAAATTTATCGTTAATGGATTTTAAAACGTCAACGTTGGGAGATAGAAATTGATTGAACGAAGCATAAGTCAGCAATAATGCTGCTGACAATCCTTGTCAAAATGTTCTGTGTTACACATGGAAATGTTGTATTTCTGCATTATTGATCTTATTTTTTGTTGCTGTTTAGACTAAAGAAGTATCCTAACATTTTTACTTTTCCTCTTTTGGCCTACCATTTCAAAAGCAAGAGAACACACATAAGTTTCGTTACAGAAACACTTTTTAACTTTTTTTTTTAATACCGTTTTAGTTATAACTTATATTAGCGTTTTGAAGCAATGACACTTATGCAAAGTAGTCAACCAAAGTCAACACATATTGGTTTAGTTAGTAAGGTCCCAGCCTTGTGTGTTGCCCACTAAGGTTCGCATTCGGCTGCCAGCAATCTTGTGTTGGTAGGCGATCTGAAAAAGCAACAAAGGGGACACAAAACCCGTTGTAAGTCCTAAAAAAAGATTGTGGTATGCCTGGTCTTGGGATGTAGTAGCCTCCGCTCCCATTAAACTTTCTGGCATATAAAAAACGTAGTCAACCAAAAAAAACAACCCAACTATCCAGGGCATCAACTAATTTCCCATGTCAACTATTTTAAGAAAACTCGGTTTGCTAATTTAGAAAGGTTAAGGTGGCAAGTAGCAAGCTATATATGTTCTAAAAAAGCTGCGATTAATATCATATATTTTGGTAAAAAAATATTGCCTACTTTCCCGTCGATCTCATTCAATACTTGTTTTGAATTAGATGGCAGAACTGACGGAGCAGGTTAAGCAAAAAACTAAGAAAATGAAGAAGGTGTTCATCACACAAGGAGGGAAGGTCGTCACAGTATGCAAGAAAGGATGGTACACTCTTCGAATCCGTGTCTTCGAATCCGTCTCAAAATATAAGAAGTGATCGATATACCAAATGATGCCCTTGAGAATCTAAACGTAAAAATTGAGAATTTATGCAACGTTGATACTTTGATATATAAAAACCAGTTGTTCTTTAGACAGAAAAAATGGACGGGTTGAGAAAACGTCATTTCTTGCTTGATCTCCATGGTCGATTTCATGGTGTAAGTGTTGGTGTATATCATTATAATTATATATACATGTCTAGATTATAGAGAATTATCAAATATGAAGGGTTCAGTTATTTAATTAGGATTTCAAGAATTCAAGGCTTGACGCCTTGTATTTCTCACCTTCAATTATCTTTATTTTCTTGTACACAAGTGAAATTAATTTGGTTATTTGAAAAATCAACAGCTTTTATCCAATATATTACAGCACTGTTAATTGAATCAGCACATTTCAACGCTTCAGCAAAACAGCGTTCTCCAAACATGAACTGATTATTTGTATAGGAAACACAAACAGAATCGAACATGCATATGCATGTTTACCAGGCCATTAATAATTTAATATCAAGCATGCATGGGGTAGGGGGTTTAATTTCTACAAGCTATAATTTAGGGTTTAGGGTTCAACCCATTACATAAGCACTTTCTTGGTGCGCCCTATAGCTATCAGTCACAAAGCTGCAACTACTAGCACATTCGATGAAGGAGCTCTTGCCAGCATCAGGTCCTTCAGGTTCAACCTTGGAGATGACACATTTCTAGCCTTCGCCTGCACACTCGCAGTGCGCTTCGTTTGCACCAAAATTTTCTACCTCCTCCTTCACCGTCATGGCCTCCTCTGTCACCATCCCGTCTTCATAACTGTCAAAGAATTAGGCATTATCGTCAGGACCATAGATGAACTAATTTACGGACACTGCTTGGCTCCTTACATAGGAGTCATTCCTCTTTCAGTAACAACGGGACATCAATATTTAAGGTCATAAAAAGAATGAACAACTCTGATTATAACGATTGTACAGTAAATTGTTGTCACATCGTCATTGAAAGGAATCCTGAGCCAAGTATTGTTCCTTGTACTTGTAAACTGTAAATAATTTAGATTAGTTTGTCCCTACGCTGATTGACATACATGCCACAGGTGCAATTTACACCACAGCTGAAGAAGGCCTTGCCAGCATCCGGTCCTTCGGTCCTAGTGATGACACATTCGCACCCTTTGCCACACCGACAAAACGCTTTGCTGCTGCCGGAGTTGCCTCCCGCTGCAACAGACGTGCACAAATTAGAGGCAGCTAATGACATGGTGCGTCTGACAAAAGCCTTGAACTAGAAATACAAAATAAACACAAATATTTTGCATCTTCTTATTCTCTTGCTATAAATATGTAACAAATTCGTACATCCAATCCAAACAAGACGAAACATCCTATCAAAAATATAAGTAGAAATAGTTGACCTTATAATCTGGTAATTAAAAACAAGTCCTAATTAAAGGGGAAAACAAACTAGGTAGGGATTTCAAATCATCGTCGGCCTCTTGAGTAGCTGTTGACCTTTTCTCAATCCTCATCGGTAAGCTTCTTAAGGTTGTACAGCACACAGCAGAAGCAACCCAGCAGTGGAGCGTGAGCGGTCAATTCATCATTCACGAGTCCATGGATGGCACTCGCTCTCATTAAGAGATAAAACTCATCCTCCTAAACGTAGCAGACTTGCACTGATCATCCTGGAATGAGCTATATATTAATTTTCAATGCTTTCACAACCACTTATCAATAACTTGTTATTACCTATTAAACTTTTAAACTAGTGATGT